ATACAGCTGTTCCCCATGCAGCCACAGGTGCCACTGTGCTGGGAGATTGTGATTACTCTTCACTTCCTCCCAGCTTACAGAGCAGCGCATGGGAGAGAGAGAGGAGGAGGCATGATTTAATCTTACAACAAATCCAGTAAGCAAATCTTTATAAATTTGGGGGATCAGCTCTGTTTCCACAGTTTATTGGTGTTTACTCTGATGTCTGTATTAATATTGAGGGATTTCTAAGTAGTAACATCAGTGTGTGTCAGCAGGGCCAGCCGTTGGGGTGTGCACGCTGTGCGGTCACGCAGGGTGCCATCACAACAGAGGCGCCCGGCGGACAACACAGCTCACAAGTTGGGGACACCAGCCTATTCAATTTAAACGATTCGCTGGTGGTCCACTGGTACGCACCAGCAGTAGGTGCAGTCAGATTATAGCCTCTCCCTCGTGGTTCCGGCGCTCAGTTAGTGAGTCAGAGCACACGCTCAGAGATTCTCAGCCTGCGCTTTGACAACATTGAAAGTCAGAGCCGTGAAGGAGCGGGTATGGCAAAGAGCTAGTGATTAGCATAACATCAATATCCGTTATAAAACCAGGAAAAGGTGGGCACCATTGCACTGATTTGGTGGTGCAATGGGCCACTTGACTGATTTTGCCCCCCAGGCCTAAGGCTGCCAGCCCTCCCCTGCTTATTTTACTATTACTAATAAAAGTTAAATTTTAAGGGCACTCACTACCTTCTTTTCACTATCTCTTTGATTTAATGCACAATATTATCTGTTTAGACCATACGCAATTTGGGTCTGAAACTATCGCAACTTGCTGTTGAGAGAATAAACCCCTTAGTTTGACCCAAAGTAAATGGTTAGGTTGGCCATTCATGGCAAGCATTTAAAAAAAAAAAAAATTTAAAACTGTGTATGTATCTCTCTCACATACCTTAACTCGAACACATTTTTTTTTAAATCCACCATTTACTCTCTAATAAGAAAGAATGAATTTTAATAGAATTTACATAGTTTTTCTAACATATTTGTGCATTCATGTGATTAAGATGACAATTATGGAACCATGTTTTGTGCATTAATTTGATTAAGTAGATTCAATCTTAATTATCATATGCATGAGTTTACTGCTTGTGGTTGACATAAATAATAGACTGGCCCTGGATTCACCGTTAAAGGGACAGTAAGGCATCATAAAAATGTTTTCATATATTAAAGTTGATGCGTATACTGTATATATAGTTGTTGTTTTTTTTCCCCCCCTGAATCTCTTATCTTAAATTTCTAACCTATGTTCAAACGAAGTGACAACTGTACACAGTGGGGGATGCAGACCACACCAGGGTGTGTATCACCAGGGGAGTTACACCACCAACACCAGCAGGGCTGACGCGTCCATAAGGCGGCACAAGCGGCTGCCTCAGGGCACACCGGCCTGGGGGGCTCTAGATTAAAGTGACTGGCAGGAGGTGGGTGCACAGCGCTCCCTCCTGCCAGTGTTACAGTGTGTGAGCTCAAGGGAGTCGTTAATGTAGTCAGGTAAGGAGTTAACTCCATGGGAGAGTTTCAATATGTTCGAGAATCAAGTTTCAATCTTCCCAAGCGGACCTCCCAGTGTTAAAGTGTCCTTGTGAATCTCACTGCTCGAGAAGGGCCCTTACCTCCGTCATAAGTGTGAGCTAAAAAAATTAGGAAAAAAATACAGAAAACCAGGTGTATACTGAGACAAACAGGATTTTTCTTTAAAAACATAGCAAGCAAATCCAACCTCCAGATCCAGAAAAGTGCCCAAAAACACCTAAACAAGGGATTGACGGGACAATATCATCCTACATTAGGGTATGCCCGGACACACCCTTTGCGCACGCCTGTGACATTAGTACCGACAATAACCTCCTCCCCCAATAGGGCCCTGACAATCCTTCCCTAATTTTCTAAATTGTAGCTAAAAAGCCAAAAAATAATATAAGCGTAGTCCCCCAGTATTTCAGTGGCTGAGGCTTACTAGACTCTGTTATGTTATACAGTGACCCATCCGGGCCAAACACACCACAAACCGGCTACAGCTTGACATAATATTATCATTATTTAAGTGTAGGGTTTGCTTATTGGATATTAATATGGATGATTTTCCAAATGAAGCATTCAGTTATGTAAAGATACTATTCATTCAGTTGTCTATGTGAAACTGTACCTGTGTTACTCCAAAGACCATAATCACTTCTGCTTTTAGAAGTGGTCATGGAGGAAGGAATCTGGCTTAAATCACAGCACAGCTAAAGTTATTTGCACTTGTACGCTGGGAGCTAGTTACCCCCAAATATCTCAAATACGGGCTGCCTAATGTCGGTTCTGTGCATATTTGACATCTGTTGTCAGTGAGCTCTGCACACTGGCACCTTACATAGTGTGGAGTCTTATATCTCTCCTCTCTTCCTGTATCCCTTCCAACCCCCGATCCCGTTGTTTAATTGTTTTAAACTCCCTCCCCACCTCTTCTTGTCTACTCAGAGCACGTGCATGCGCTCCGAGCCAGCTAAATGGCCCAATCAAAGGCATCTCTGTGAGAAACCTTTGACGGAACTGTACGTTGGCTGCTGTGACATCAAGAGGGGGCATTAAAAGCAGCGTCAAGAGCTTGGCCCGGTACTAGATTTCAGGTAAGTAAAACTTATTTTACACCTTTTTTATGTAGTGATAGGGAGGGGAGACCTAAAGAATAATGCTCAATAACACATCTTTTTTATAAATAAAAAATAAAAATAAAATGGGTTAGAGTAAACCTTTAACTAAATGAAACAGCTAGTCTAATATATAGATGTGTTACTTTTCCTTTAATCATTTACACAAACTCTCATTCAGTTCTGTGAAAGCATCAGTCTTTAACAAAAAAGTCTTTATGTCTTTATACAGAAAGTGTTACCTATCAAAAAAGAGAAAATATATAGGAATAAATGTTGTAAAAATAAACAAACAACCCTGATTTAAATTTTTATTTTATCACCTATTTCAATTCCTCTCAGCTGCCTTATACCAATTTTCACCTACCATTTCCATTTCTCTTTGCCCTCTGGCTGTCGTCCCACGAGTCTTTTGACAATTGCTGACATTTCTTAATTTTATTTCTGTCACTGTCCAGTCTCTCTGTCGTCCCAGCTGCTTCCAGGATGCTAAAGGACATTTTTCTAGCTGAATCCTTGCTTTGTAAACCTTCATCGCATATTAAAAATCACACTAATTTTTTTTCATCACTGGCCCATTTTGAGACAGGTCTGTGTGTACTGAAGAGGTAATATAAGCCAAAGTATTTAGAAATCTTTCTGACAGTTGTATATCTATTGCGTACTAGAGCTATGAGTATAACCTGGCACTTGGCATTCCAAGCCTGTGTGTCTGAATGTCCTGTAGATAATATTTTAATACATTTATGGTGAATAAACTTTTGTGTGATACATTAATAACATTTTTACACAATTAAAACAGCATAAATATGTATGATATTAAAGAAGCATTAATATCTATTTCTGTTCTTTTTATTCCCTATTTTAATAAGCATTTTAATAATTAACAATAATCAAATATTTAACTAAACACTATCATCCCAAAGTGTTCCCCCCTCCACACACAAACGGCACATTAAAATGGCTAAACGTAACCTTTTAACTCGCTAAATTCATTTGTACGTCTGTTTGCCAGGGTTGAATTCTTATCAAGACACGTTGGAAAACAGATGCTTTGGGGCAAAGAGCAAAATAGTGAGCAATCACTATGGAAGCCAACAGAACGTCTCTTGACATGTAGCCCTTTCACCCAAAATTGCCACTGTTTTGCCATTGTTTCATTTCCATAGCACATCACCTGTTGTGAATGCCACGGGATGCAAGTAGGTACAGCTATATGCCAGCCATATCAATGCCCTGCCCAGTTTACCCAAATCTTGCCTAGTGCTAGCCAAGCAGGTCATTCCTATGACAACCGAACCTACCAAGCCATTGGATTGCTTAAAACGCGTGGTGGAACATTTTATGCTGTCAAATTAATAACGGCTGCTAATTTTGACATGTATTAAGGAAAAAAAATTCTGTGTTAATTATTCCATGTGATAATCTTAATACAAACTGAGGGAATCAAAGTAGAGTTTTATCCAATAATCATACATTTTTATTTTATTTTTGAAATTTGTTTTTAATATATTTTTATAAATCGTCACAATCATGTATTTTGTAAAGACTTTATGTTATCTTTTGAGATATTTAACTGCAGGGTAACATGCCGTATGTATAAGAAGTCTGCATAAATATGTAAATACAGATAAATTGTTACAAAATATACATTCTTTAATAACCTAATGAATCCTAGAATTAAACTGGCTCATGGGGCTCACACAATAATGAATCATGTGGAACAAAATGTGAAACAGGTTTTTATAGAGGCAGATATATATATATATATATATATATATATATATCCTGCACAGTTCTGTTTTAATATATACTTCAACATTTCAAGTGCTTCATGAAAGCACTGCTCAGCAGATGCTGTCAAAGAACTGGTGGCCATTTTCCGCTGTAAAATAAAATCAGTCTGATAATCAGGATCATTTATTAATTAGTCTCCAGTAAACTGGAATTGGTTTAAAATTGTATATAGAAAACAATATTAGAAAAATGTAAGGCTGTGATTTGAGATGTCCAACATTCTTTGGTCTGAACACAACACTAACAAAAACACACTTTCTCATTTAAAAAAAATGTATTTTGTCAATCTATTTTTTATTGAGGATAACAATTGACTGTCGGGGGAATTGTGTGATTAATTTAGGATATAATGATCCCTAACCAACGGGGGAGAGATTGGTCAGTAAGGGCTTTAAGCCCTCCCGTGGTTAATAGGTAAGCTGGTGTTCATAAGATCAGCTAACAACAAATGAAGCGAAAACATATAAAACAAGAACTAAAATGTGCAAAATAAGAGAAACAGTAGAGTGCTTGAAGTTGTATTAAGAGTTCAGGTCACCACAGCCGACCCTCGGTTGCTTCTTGGAATGAAAGACGCTGTTCTCTCAGGATCCCAGAGTGAAAAGCAGTCGATGATGAAGAGGTCGGTGTGACTTGGGAGTCGCAAAGCTTGAAGGAAGGTCGTAGCTTCCGACATAGAGGTCATTTGTATATTAGAGCCATCCTTAAGGACCGTGAGAGATAAGACTGCGCTTCTCAGTTGGTTGGTTAAAGGGATCACAGTCCTCCATTGTAGCATGCTCATGGATAAGTCCTGGTAGAATGTGAGATGAGCAGACTCAAAGCTAAAGATGGTTTTATCCCTCACGGTGGCCATGATGCGAGATTTGCATGCGAATGATTGGCATCTGACTATCAAGTCACAGGTGGAAGAGGTAGGGGCCTGTGGGGATTTATTGATCCAAAAGAAACTGTCAATCCCAACCTTCTTGGCTTATGCAGGTGGCAGTAGCTCAGTAAGGAGGTGTCCTATGTAATGGGGTACCTCAGCCAAGTCAACACTTTCGGGGATTCCTCGTATTTTAAAATTAGCCTGTCTATAATCCAGCTGGTCTAGTTGTAGTGCCATGGTAGCCTGAAATTACTGTACTTGGCGTAGGGCATCTTTCAAGCCAGAGACATTGCGTTGTGTGCCTATTATGTCCTCTTCTGAGGCCTGTACACAAGCAGTCTTGACTATGTTTATGTCTGCTGTAAACATCTGCTTCATGTTGTGCAGAAGGTCTTTTACCTCCATGGCTGTTAGCACCATTGTAGCAGTCTTATGCGCATGGGGTTCCCTAGGTTCCTCCGTGTGTGTATCTGAACAGATGGATCCTGCCTCGTGGCCTCTTGGTCCAACCCTGTGGCCATTTTGGTGCCAATGTCGTGGGTGTTTGGCTCGTACTTGCTGACACCCTCTGTGTTCTTTGGCCCATCTCATCGGTGTCACTGGCCTGGTGGTATTCTTGTTGGAAAGTAGCTGGAGTTCCAGAAGGCCATGCACCGCACTGAAAACAGGGCTTCTGGGATGTGTGCTCTGGTGCTGATCCATAGTAAGTAGTCAGACTGTTTGTTGACACCTTACATGGGAAAGAGACACAAGACCAAGCTGAATGACTGAGAGTATTAGCAGAGCACTCTCAGACAAAGAACGTCTTGTACTGGCTGTGCTTTACTGTACAGAGACAGCTGTGTGAAGCCATGCTACAATTGTTTAACCACTTACTGTGGAACACCCAGATACTCCTGGCTTCATAAGTACTACAGCCCGCTGTCATGGTTATGGTGTCAAGATGGTTCAATATAATCTAGGAAGGACCCATGGTGATTGCAAGATGTCAATAATTTGCTGCTAAAGAAGCATTGTCATTTAAAGAACTCGTGAGGCACAGCAGAAAGAGTTTGTCCCCCAAAAAGAGCAGACATCACTAAGATTAATTGGTAATTATGTATACTATGTCTACTATACAAAGCAAATTGGCCCATATCTCTAAAAAAAACATCTGAAATGTATTTATTTCAATGATGAAATTAAAGGCGAATTGTCACCTCCCAGAATATTTAATATTATGTTTACTTATTGCCTATAGTTAGCAAATATGTCTTGTGATCTCAAAAAACAAAAAAGTGAAATATAGAAATCCACCTTTCTATCCTTGAACTGGGCACCACCATCTTGGCTTCCTGTCAATCATTGTGATAAATGTTGCTCTTTTCTGCCCTTGAATACAGTGGAAGAGAAGACAAATCAGTTCTGCTTCTCATTTACATTGTATACCTACATTGTGCCTAGACTGAGCTGCATCGTGATGTCACTTGCTAAATCTTTAACATACATTTTAATCAAAAACATAGAATCACACAGGGGAGAAAAAAAACGTTTAATACAAGGAACAGATCATTCTCACTGTTTTATTCAGTCTTGTCATTTCCAGAAATGTGCAATTTCTGCTTTAATTTAACAGTTAGTTGAAAATATATGAAGAAAAAAAAATACATCTGTTTAACACAATGACTGTAGCATGACAGTTAAATAGCCAAGGCTACCAATATATTATTATTATTATAGAGAGTAAAGCAACAAGCATCAGGCACTGGGCAAATTGCTGCATTGTATCCACATTGCACGTTGTCCATTCCAATATTCAGACTGTTAATGAATGGAGTCATCCAGTGACCTTTTGTTTCAAAGTAATCTAATCAATTACTAGTAATCCTGAAGAATGGACATAGCTTTCAGTTGCTGATCCATTATACATGGCATTGAATCATTAATAAAGTGGTATCTAGGTCTGTCCAGTGTCAGATGAACCGTGAAGTCAGCTTGTTGGTTAAGGCCAATATTTTTAACTCTCACTATGCCAGAGGGGTGGGTAAAGCAGTTTATATTCCGTTACCGTATGTTGGAGTCAATAATGGACTCCTCATTCTGCCCAGCGACTAGCTCTCTATAATTTAATATGTGCAATTCCTATTATAATATGTGACCAACTGCAAAACATACAACTTGGACATTTTAATACAATAACAGGTATTGCTGTCAGTTATGTGCAACAATAAAAATAGATATACATTTCCAGGATTGAATTAATCACTATGTGTGTTCACTGATCTGGGATTTGTTGAGAACTGAGTGTAAGAGTGTCTGACTGTGTCTTTTAGGACGTTCACCCAGCGGCAGAACTACCAAGTCACTGTTGGGCTTAGGCCAGGTTGGCCCCCTTTCCAAACTGTTATTTAGTATTAGGCATTTGTAGCATTGTCTTTAAAGGGACACTATAGGCACGCAGAAAACATTATCTTTGTAGAAAGAGCAACTTGTACATTGCAGGGTTAAACCCCCCTCTGGGGTTATCTTCTTGACAGCCACTAGAGTCACGGCCTACTCCAGACTGAGTAAAACTCTGGGAATTAGAAATGCTGATTGCAGCATTTGATTGGATGAGAGCAGAGTTTTGCCGCGCATGCACACTCCAATCCAATGCTCTCTAGGAGATGAGGTCATGAGTGACGCCAGCATGTTTGCTGACACCCAGTGCTGGAAATATGTGAGTAATCTTTATTTTACTTCATTTTAATAGGGCAAAGACTGGTGGACAGAAGTCCCGAAGTACAGATAGTTATTTTCTGGACTATAGGTCCCCTTTAATCTTATCAATTTATTTTATGATGAATAGATTTGTCTGGCTTAAATCCTCTTTCGATTCATTTTTAAACTAACTGATCAGATTGAAAACATATCAAAAGGGGTTTCATGCCAGACATATGGATTAGTTGTCAAACAAATCTATTTGTTTAAGAAAAACTGCAATAAATGCACTTGTCTATATTGCATATTGTCAGTTAGCCGATATACTAAATAACAATTAAATGACTGCTCTGAGCACTTTAAGTGCTCTCTCTCCCTCCAAACTCTCAGAGAATGAGTCAGAGCACTGGCAACACCCATTCAATGATTGGCGGACTGCAAGAGCGTTTAATATGGTTTGCAGGGCCGGCTGTGCACGCTCCCTCAGGGATACGGTCAGCTGCTGCCCAGGACCACTAGGGATAACACCCCCACTCTGTGCAGACGGAGGGGGTTAAAAAAAACTTAATATAAATATTACACACACAATCCCCACACATAACACTCAGCCAACAACCACAATCACACTAAATCGAGCCCCACACACCATCATGCTCAGCCACTACACATCCCCAGAGAATAATTACATGGAGAACTTGATGTAAAATGATTTAAGATGTCAGGAACACCTCTCAATAGTAGGTGATATATTCAGCTACACTTTATCTAAAACTTATTTTCCCGATGATATCTATGGGAAACGAAGATTGGGTACCACTGCGTCTAAACAATTGCGTAATCAATCTGTTATTTAAATTAGTAGATCATAGTGGCTGATTTTGTCACGCTCAGGGAGAATAATTCATTGCTTCACTACAGAATATCCCTATTACATGTGATTTGTGTAGTGCCTACATGAATTTGCTGCCTAATAGAGGTGGTATGGCCAATTTCAGCAGAAGACAGGGTTAATTTGAGTGTATCGGTATGTCAAAAGGTTTACAACATTAATTCCTCTTTTGAAGTTGTGACTCCAAGCAGAGCTCCTCTGCCAGGTGTGAAATGACATGAGTAGTCTCTAAGTCCAGCTTCAATGAAAACTAACTATGCCCCATCGTGGAATCTTTTGATATGCTATGTGGCCATTTGCAGTTAGATGACCATTGCATACCAGAGTCATATACAAAAGGGCACCCTATAAAAGAGTATAAACATGGCTGGAGCAACTTAAAGGAACACTATATATAGTGTTAGCTATGTTTAGGTGAACGGCCCATGTCAGAATGGAGTTAAAAGGAATTTAAACAACTATTATCCATCACCGTGCTGGCCTCACCGTGGTGGCACCGCCTCCATGGCTGAAGGAATTATTCATGATAATCTCAGCCCAATGACTGCCACGAGTGGTCTTACTGGCAGGAATGTAAACATTGCCTTTTCTCTTAAATGGTGGTCTTGGTGGTGTCAGTGTTATGATATTATAATTAAGTATGGGTAATGTTAAGGGGGATTTTTATCATTATTTCCTGTGTAATGCAGACAAAAAGTGAATTTTAAACCTTTCACAACCAAAAATAAGACATGCGCATACTTGGAGTAGGGTGCGTTAGTGACAAGACTCAGCTATAATATGTACTTGCAACAACAAAAAATGTAACTATTAACAAGTTATTCACCTGTCAAATCCTACGGTGAATTTTGGCCCACCCTGTACAAAGAATAATTTAGATGGGAATGCAGACTGCTAAATCTTTCATATAGATCTAAAGGAAACACATCACACGAGAAAAGGTTAACACGGGTTGCAGCCGACGGTCAATGTTTAATTCAATTCTGCAATTTCCAAGGAACTGATGATTCCTCTTTAAGTGCTTCATCATGCAAATTGGGCAATGATATTTCCCTTTCATCCACTATAGACAGAGGAATCAATAACGCTTGAATATGTTAAACAGAAATTTCCAGAAAGTGCTAGGTTTATTACTTGTCTGACTGTGGCCGTAACATTGCTTACACTGCAGACAATTTGCCGTAAGTCTCTCGATATCTCGCTCACCACCACCTGTTTTAACAAGCTAGTCCAACTGATGGTATGAAACTCCCTAAGCAGGAGATGATATATTAGCTCCAAAACTTTATTCTGAAAAGTCTCCTGAATCAATGATCTGGGTCTAATGGATCCTACCCTTAAGTAAGAAATGGACAGTAACAAACGGCAGGTAATATATTCTATATAACATGACTAATAGCTATTGTTTTGTGCTGAATTCTAGTTCACTCAAATAGGATGATATATAGAATACAATAAACAGCAAATTAAACAGTTGAAGGAATTAAAATATATTTCCGAACACTGTAAAAACATTCCAAAACTCAGCAGTGCTGGGATTTACATCCCTGTAGACAGTTGTCTACTCGGCGTATTAGGATAATCTGCACTCAGGCTTTGTACAAGTGCTAATCTGCTATCACCTGGTATTTCATGGGTTAGAATGGTGATTTAAAGGGTTACTCCAACCACCATGACCACTTCAGTGATTTGAAGTGGTTATGGTGGGAGGAGTCAGTATGTGCAGTATTTCAGCTTAAAACTCTGCACATACTGAGATATTGTCAATTGTGTGGTGTGGGATAGTTGCACTTCCAGCACACATGACATTGGCATCCCAGAACACTGTCCTGGGCTACCTAATGCCAATTCTGTACATAAAATATGTCCATCGTCAGTGCTCGCTACACGCTGCCGACATACGTGAAAGTCTTCCCCTTGCAGGTAGAGCACCTGCAAGGGGAAGCTAGCTGTCCCCTCCCATCCACTCTGCATTCCCTCTCGACTCCCTCCGTTCCACGTAGGTTAAAAAAAAATAATAAAGAAACCCTCTCCTTCCCCAGCCTGGAGCATGCGCATGCAGAGTGTGAATACGCTGTGCAGCACTGCACTAGGAAGCGGCCATCTGAGTGACTGCTACTAGAAGTGTTACTAGCCAGTGTTTATAACCAGTTCCAGCATGCTTTTGAATGTAGACACTAGAAGCTGTAAAACATGTGACAAACATGTGACAAACTTTAAAACATGTGACAAACTCAGAAACACTTGCCAATAACTATGTATCTGAACAATGACTGTCTCTGAAAAGAAAATTAAATTGTTTTTAAAAATGTTTAAAAACAAAAAGAAAAAACAGGATAGGTTAGCCAGACTCCTTTCTTAAAAATTAAGAGGTTTTTTTCTCTCTAACTGAATGATAAAACTGCGTAAGTATCAATCACTGGAGTTTGGTCGGCCTACTTGATAGAAAACTAAATTACAAGTAAAATCTAAGATTAATATGTCATCCTATGTCATCTAAGGTATATATGTCATTATGACCTTCACATAAAAATATGCCATTCTAATTATCTCTCCACTGAAGATATCAAGATCTTGCTACAAGTAGGGAGAAGAAATTTCTAAAAAATATTGACTTCCGTGGATTTACTTGGTTCCCTCCTCTGCGCCCTGGGGAACTGAAAGACAAAAATTGGGTGAGAAAGAAAAAATGCTTGGATATAGAATCCACGAACTACTAGGTCAGCAGTACAGAAAATATCAAGGATATTAATCTTTCAAACTGGAGAAATGGGGTATAATCTGGTATATATTTGTAAAAATCCACTGTTTAAACATTTGTTTTCCAGATGAGCTCAGATTAGGACCGATCTAATAAATTTGTTTCATACATAACGATAAAAAAATAAAATGTAATCACAAACCTTACCTCCAAGATGTAACAAAAACTAAGAAACTCTTCACACAAGTAAATAAAGGGAATTTATCTCCCCATGTCTTGATTGTATAAATAAAACCTCTGATTTGAAACCTACAGGACCGTTGATCTGTTAGAAGAGCTGGATATAGAATTTACAAGCAGACACTAAAGAGAAAAGCCACACTGTGTCCCATAAATGATTGATTCCGATTTGTTTGCCTAATAATAGGTTGTACAGCCCTAGAACAGGGATAGGCAACATTTCAGTAGTACTGTGCCAAAGCAGGATCTTGAAGTCCCTTGGCATGCCGGTTCTATTTTTTGTAAATTGAGGTGTGTACGTTGCTTGTGTTATTTATGGGGGCTGCAGTTGCTTTGTAGCATTGTATTTGTTTGTATGTGGGCTGTTACATTGTATATGTTCATGAGTAATTTGTACTATTGTGTGAGATACCTATAAATGTGGACTGTGTATGGGGCTGCTTGTGTAATTGTGTGCGTGCAGGATGTGTCACACTGTGTGCTTGGTGGTGTGTGTATGTGTGAGGCTGCTTGATGAGTTATCTGCATGTATATGGATTTGTAATTGATGTTGTGTTTGTGGGGACTGTGTGTGTTAGTGTGTGGGCTGCTTGTATTGTGTATATGAGGGGAAGACTTATTCTGTAGCTCTGTGTATTGCTTCCCTGGGGTCAAGGGCAGGAGCTGTGATAGCTGCTGTGGGTTGTTCTACCCCAGTGCGAATTTCCGTGCTGCAAGGAATTTTTCTGAGATCACTTCCTTTAAGCGCTGCAATGCGTAAATTGAGGACTGTCCCTCACCACCTGCAATCACCGCTCGGTTTGCAATAGCAGATATCTGAAGTCCTACTGAGACTCGTGATAGGCTGCGGCCTGTTTGGCTCTGGCAGCCATGAGTGCTGTGCAAAGTCACCTCGAGTGTCATGGTACACGTGCCACAGGTTGCTAACCCCTGCCCTTAAAGTAGAATTCTCTCTTTGGATCCAGTATTAGACCAACAGATTGTCAAGCCAAAGTAAAAAAAATGTCCTTTTTTAAAATATGGATTTCTTGATTTAAAGAAACTAATCATTAGTCTTCACCTTTTGAACTGTTACTGTCAGTGGCGTACATACCAGGGTCGCGGCTGCGACCGGGACCGGCCGCCCCTGCGACCCGGTATGTAGCCACAGGGCCAGCCTCTTCTCCTGGGGGGCCCAGGAGGCGGCCACCCCAGGCCCCCCGAGGCTGGCCCTGCTGACCCTGGCGGGCGGGCTGTCTGGGCGACCGGCGAAGGCACTTTACACTCTGTGCTTCCTCTTCAGCTCCGTGCAGTAAGGGCCCTGGATCAATTTTCGCACCGGGGCCCCATGGGTCATGTGTACACCACTGGTTACTGTGTAAGTTGATTGATACCTACAAATACATTTTAGTTTTTGTTTGTTTATTAATTATACTCTTATCCAGGCTAAATATTTATTTTTTGTTTGTTATTGTTTTATGAATATATACAACAACGAAAATAGAAGTTCATAACTAATGTTTTAAAGTCGGTAAACAACAGAAAAGATTTGGGATACAGTATCCCGAGTCCAATGTAAGAATCAGATACAGTGTTGGAGGTATTTCTAACTGATCCAGATAAGTCACTACAATACGGCTGTAAAAAGAGACAATGAGGTTTTTATTTTTTCATCCCAAATGAGCCATGACTACATTTTGATTGTCTATATTTTTACGAGGACCAAAATCCCAAGGTCCACATCACGCTGGTTCTCCTCCCCATTGTCCTCATTACTTTGAATCTTTTCCACCCCGGGGACCTTTTCCAGCTCTCCTAATTGGTGACATGCCCATTCTGCTAGCCACTCATTATTGCTACCAGCTCGCTGTGTTTGTGTAGTTCTGCTTTGTAGTGTTCCTCCGCAATCTGGGCAATTCATTACTTTATCTCTGGCCTATTTAAGACTTGCTATGGTTTAGTTCTAGTCAATAAACATTAAAACACTGACACAAATAATAACATATCTAGTTGTTACTAAAATATAAAAATATCAAATTAACAACCTGAAAGGATAGTTTGCTAGTTTAAAACGTAATTACTCAAGTCGATGATGTTCACTTTATAAATCTTGAAAGCGTGAAAACTCAAGTTAAAGGGACACTGCAGGAACTGTAACTGCTCCATCTTATTACAGTGGTTATAGTGTCTGATGTCCCCCACCATTGTTCTTCCATTCAGCATTAAACCTTATTTAAAGTTTTAATGCTAAACAGGAGTTCCCAGCAGTACATCTCCTCTGAGCTGCTTGGGCTATTGAGGAAGCATTAGCCTGAACAGCAAAGGATGGCTGTGATTGGCTAAGAGTGTCAGCTGATCGCTTTCAGCCTATCACAGCTCCAACTGCTGGTATGAATTGGTATGGCTGCAAGGAAATGTGATATCTCCAGTGTGGGGGTAAGAACTCTTATTTTTGTGTTAAACGCCCCAAAATTATTTAACATTGAATGGGGTTAACCTGTCCAAGCTGGAGGTAAAAGCAACTTCATCAAGAAGCAGGCAACAGCAAGGAACCACACATACGAGAAGGACAGGAGAAAGCAGGCAAGGGTACGTGATGATGAATAACTTGATTCATACAGAGGTTTGGGCACTTCGTTTCAAAATTGTTCACAATAAATGTTTAGGAAAGATTCTGAAATAAAAAACAGGACTCGCATCCCACTTTGAGTAAGTTAGACATTGACCATTCAGGTGGAGAAAAACAAATCTGAGGATACAGTTAATGAAACGAGTATCAAAGCTGGAGCATTAATCACTAAGCTAGCTCACTAAAACCAGATAGGCCTGACCTACTTTAAAAGGTAATTTCCCATTTAATGTGGGAGAGGTCTATTAAAAGATTAAAACCCCTCCAGGAGTAACATTGTAACCATATTAGTTTTCTATTAACTGCCCCCAATATAACCTCTGATTACATGATTTTACTTTGTAAAGTTAATTCATAGTGTGTTTATTTAAAGGGACTCTGTAGGCACCAAATCCACGTTATCTCAATGAAGATCTGGCCCTCATGTTTTAACCCTGTAGCTGAAAATATTGCGTTTTTTTTTTTTTTTTAAATGCCTCTAGTGGCTGTAACTTTGGCAGGAGGCACTAGAGACAGAAATTGGCTATATCAAATTAAATGGTCTCATCTGAATAGCGCAGAGCACACTAGCATGAGCCTCCAAAGGTCTGCTTATAGGAAAGAATTGGATTTGCTGAGATCATCAATACTGATAATATCAGTAAAAGAGGCAGGGCCAGTCACAGAGAGAGTAGTGTATTGTGTAAGCAAAGGGGAATAAAAGTACTTTTTAAATGGTGACTGGGACACCATAGCGCAAAAAAAAACAAAACAAAAAAACACAAAACACTTTTTGGAGCAATATCATAACATCTACATCTGCAGAGTAATGCTTTCAGAGTGCTAGTACATTTGGGCCTTTCTTCCAAAGTGCTATATGTCTACATGCTTTGTGTTTTGTAGGTATTTTGTGTGCTGCCAGTCTGGTTTATGTTGTCGTATTCTACTCGTGTTATGTATTTGTGCATATGTGTGTAAACAGTTGGTGGTACGGTCTGTTTGTGTTACAAATGTATGTGAGCTGTGTATCGGGTGTGAATGTGAGTGAGATTGTGTTTTGCATATGTGTGGGGGCTGCTTGGGGTATTGAACATGGGAAGCAGTTTGTGGAATTGTGAGAGAATGTGGGTTGCCAGTGATTTTGTTTAGGCCCTGCTTATGATGCTGTGTATGTGTTAGATGCTACAAACAGCCCACACAATAATGGAGGGCTGTGCGTCTGGCTGTGTAGGTGCTTTACTGGTGTCCAGTGAAGACCAGGCTGTCCAGGTACAAGTCCAGGGCAGGTTCCTCTGAGCACTGCGCTCACCACTAGCTGCAATCACTGCAAGTGGTGAACATTGGGTTTGCAATAGCAGGAATCTGAAACCATTGGGACACCGGTTAGGTCAGATCCAGGGGCAGTTCCTTTGATTTCTGTAGCCTATTTATATCTGGCACCATTGAATGCTGTAAAGGTACCTCACATGCCATATATTGCAGACTCCTGTAATGTTTACTAAGTGGTCTAGTTATTGCAAAATAATAAAACAAAACTAAACAAAAACTGTGCAGAGTATCTCACAGTGTAACAAGGTGCATGCTCGCTCTGTAAGCGAGAGGTTACTAGTGGCTGCAATTCATATGTATGAGCTGCATTCCTGCATTTCCAATGAGAAATCGGAGAGGGCATGCCATCTTGCATAATTTCTAGTTCTTCCATTAAAGAAAAATATGGTGAGCAAGAAAACGCCAATTTAAAGTAATCCAGGAGATTTCAGCCAGTTCCTTGTTGGAAAAAGCATTCATATGGACTACCTACGAAGGACAAGTTTACTCAGAATTCACAGAGAAACACTACACACAGTGTCTTATTCATAAAGCTCTGCTTTGCAGTGAATTAAAATCAGAATGGCAGGATTTAGGCTCAAAAAGAATACAAGCTTTGACTATAGCAAAGTTGCAAGATTTTTTTTTTTTTTTCTCCCTGATCAGGTAAGTGTCTAAATGTTGCCATTCAGATTTCAATTCACTGTACAGTGATAAAAAGTCATCACAATTTTTATTTAAATCAGGAGTCGCCAAAATGTAGATGCCCAGCTGTTGTAGAACTGCAACTCCCATGATGCTGTGCACGCCTTTAGAATGATAATGCATCACGGAAGCTGTAATTTTAAACACATGGGGATCTACCTTTTGTGCACCCCTGATCTAAATACATATTAGGTCTACTTTGGTTATTAGATGGACTTGTTTTGTGCAGATTTGCAATTCCAAGAATCCCCTCTCAATCCATTTAGCATAATCCAATTAATTATTCCTATAGGATCCAATTATAAAAATTGTTGCTATGCAGGTATATCTGATACAAGAGTAACATTTCTTCCCAGAAACAAGAGAGCAGGCTCATTAAGTTAGCATTACGCAGGCTATGCCATACACAGGCATTAGATCACATGTATTATATTAATTAGTAAGCAGCACTCATTGCTTGGAAGATGACAACACTAAGCTGGCAAATGAAAGTACAAAGAAGACCGCTCACGTAGTGAGTAATTTAGAGAGGTCGTTGATTTAAAGCTACATTTCATTATAGTTTAAGTGTACCCATCATAACTTTTCCTTGAAAGAGACTGCCCTACTAGGCTTACTTAAAGGACCACTATAGTGCCCTGAGGGTGCCCCCACCCTCAGGGTCCCCCTCCCGCCAGGCTCTGAAAAAAAAAAAAAAAAAAATTACCTTTTTCTAGCACCTGGCGGGGAGCTCTCCGCCTCCGATCCTCCTCCTCCTCCTCTCCTCCCCGTCGGCTGAATGCGCTCGCGTGGCAAGAGCTGTGCACGCATGCAGCCGGTCGCATAGGAAAGCATTATCAATGCTTTCCTATGGACGCTTGCATGCTCTCACTGATTTTCACAGTGAGAATCACGCAAGCACCTCTAGCGGCTGTCAGGGAGACAGCCGCTAGAGGATTTGGGGGAAGGCTTAACCCATTCATAAACATAGCAGTTTCTCTGAAACTATGTTTATATATATATATATATTAAAAAAAAAATAAAATAAAAAAAAGTTAACCCTAGCTGGACCTGGCACCCAGACCACTTCATTAAGCTGAAGTGGTCTGGGTGCCTAGAGTGGTCCTTTAACATGTATATTTACCAAATATGTGCATTTAAAAAATAAATAAATTAGGAATTCACATTGCTGTATTTACTTCTATTCTGGAATGAGTGTCTCCACCTGGTCTCCCTGTCAATCACGACTTTATCTTCTCGATCAATGAACATAGAAAGTGGAGGAGAAAACCAAAATTCTGGGTTCTCTCTTTCTCCAATGCAGTGTGTACCCAATGTGCCATAAATGTATAATTTTTTGTTTTATATATGTTCACCCACATTGATGATCCACTGACATCCTATGCTCAGGGAATGAACAGGCTGTCAGAATGAGCAGCACAGCAAGTACTCAACCAAGGTTTGCAGGAATAACTATTCAAAAGCTCTCAACCGAAAAGTATTAACAGTCACACTATAATTCATGACTCTCAAAACATACTTTAAAAAAAAAAAAAAAAAAATTGAACTGAGGAAAGGGCAGAATAGATACCTAGTTTTAAACTACAACTCCAATGATGCTTTGCCAGACTCAAGCCATTTCTGATCTACAGCAATTTGTGTCTAATTTTTAGATATTCCCAGAGGTTTTGAAAAGCAATGCATTGGGGCAGAGCTCTTAAAAATATTAATAGAACATTTATTAAAAAAAATAAAAAATGGGTGAGGCAAAAAGGGCATTTGCCTTGGGTGGCACTTTCCAGGGTGCGGCAAATAACACAGCCCCCCAAATGCCCAGGCTAATGTGCCTGTCAGTGTGTCTGAATGATTGTATGTGTCAGATTGTGTCAAATCAGTAAGTGTATGTGTGTGTGTGTGTGTATGTCAGTTTATCTGAGAGTGTGTGCTGGTCTGTGAGTGGGCATCGGTCAGTCAAAATGTGTTAGCAGGAAGAGGTGTGGCCTTGGCAGGAAAATTTAAATTAGAGTGTGCTCGAGATCTGTCATGCCTTGGGCAGCACCATTGTAACTCATCACAACTTTGCCATTCGGAAATGATGTACACTGCATTAAAATTACAACCGTTAAAATGCATTTCACCAATTTAAACGAATTGTACAGACACACAAACGTACATGTATATACACTACTAATTAGCCTAGCAAAATGCATGGGTGGAATAGTATTCTTGATTAATAGAGCCTTACTGTACAAGATCTGTTCTAAGGTCACCTGGAGACAGGTAATACAGGGTGGTTTTATATTTAAAGTGGAAGGGGGAACTAGAATTTGTTTTCATTTGAGCGGTCTCCAGGGGCGACCTTTGGAATAACCCATTCATTCCGCACAATTCTTCTCTCTTGCAGACTTGTAGTTTTTTTTTTTTTTAAAAGGATTTCAGAATTCTGGGATGATCTATTTTTGCTGTACAAATGGAGTATCTGCAATGAGATTTTAAACAAAAACAAGATGGCATCCGTCAAGTTATTGGAATGTAAAGTCTCAAAAGCTTCACTGCTCTTTGACGTGTTGCAATCCAGAATGCAGGGAGGGGAAAATACATCACTGCTTCCTTTCAGACTGAATAAACACCACCAAGGGCCAAGCTGTCAGTAAAGTGCACTTTGAGAAGTTTAATTTCAAGGGTGTTTGCTTTCTACCAAAGCATGTCTTATCTGCAGTGCTTTGTCAGATTCTCAGCTACATGTTTTAAAAAATAAAATAAAAATGGAACAACAACTTATGGTAGATTTCATATGCACGCCAGATCATGTGCCCAATCTTAGACTGTTCGTAAGTTTGGAAAAAAAGAATTAGCTAGCAAGTTGTATATATAGATGATTCACCCTGTGTTCATGGGATATTAAAGTAACAATATGAATGCTTGCACTAGTACTCAAAAGACCTCTGAAAACCACATCTGCTTTATTCCGAGATGTTCATCAGCTACAAAAACACAGGCGAGAATTTAGGAGGGTAAAGTCAGTAGGGCAGATTTATTCTTCACTTTTAATTAAATCAGAAGAGCATTATAACTAGAACGTTATGTGACATTTTCAAATTGTATGCAAAGCAACTTTGAAACAAAAATATAAGTCACTGGTACCTTTCTAGCAGTGCGGGAAAATTTGGGAGGAGGAAATTTTTTTTAAAAAGACACTACCCAAATAATACCAACCTCTCGCTTTAATTGATCTCTCAAAAAGCAATAAACAACTCTTTAAATGGAGTTTGTGAATACCTTGCTACAGTATATAAAATACATGAAATATGGACATGATCAATTCAAAACATGGTTTTCAGAGTTTATTCACTAGACATTGAACTGAAAACCAAGGTTAGAAAAAGTGTTACGGCAAAAGAGCCAAGCTATAGCTAGCTGAAAATGTTGCCAACTTAACTGAAAAATTTAGATTAAAACAGCCAAGTGTTTAAAAAATAATAACCAGAGACTTTAATTTTTCTTTATACAACAAACTGGAAATGGAGTAAATTTTATAAGTAAGTACATATAAAAGGAACAGAGAAAAGATTATTCAAACCGATTACTGTAACTTAACCCCTTAAGGGCCAAACTTCTGGAATAAAACTGAATCATGACATGTCACACATGTCATGTTTCCTTAAGGGGTTAATGAACTTCTCACTGCAGGCTTAAAAATACACACACACGTAAGGCAACTTTTAACCTTTAAATGAAAACGCCAAGTACCATAACAATTACTGCCCATTGTAGTGATTATAGTGCCAGGTGTGCCCTGGCGCTTTCACAAAGTAATTTGTCAAACCGTTTTAGAATAGTTACTTATCTGGGCTACATTGGGCGGCAGTGGTTATGGTGCTTAAAATATTTCACGTTCTGCAAGTCATTTTCACTGCAATCAACAGGCCCTTTTTAGGATCCAAAAATTTACTATAGAATATGAACACAAAATATAAAAAATTAGGCTAAGATAGCCAAACCAGAAAAAGTTAATTTAATAAACGATCTTAAATAAAATTGAGAGCCACATTCTGGGGTGGGAGGGTTGGTAGGTCAGGATGTGTCATTGATATTCATTGCTAAAAATAAGGAAGGCTTTCTCATTTGAAGAGTCACTGGTATAAAACATACAATACAACGGTAATTTTCTTGGCCTAGCATGTGGTTTATGTTACCTAAAAATCATGCCAAAAAATATTTAATTCTATCTGTTCAGGTTCCCTAACCTATGGCCTCATTAGAAAGGTGGGCTATGCAAATATAAGCAATTAGAGGTTCACAAGGATTTCTTTGTTAAATGTTCACACTCAAATTTGCTTTGTTTACCAGTTTCAGGGTAATCCATGCACTCCTCACATGTTTGGGGCAATTTGAAAATAATTATTTCTTGTTGAGATTTTTAAGTCAAAAAACACAAAAAAACAAAATAAGTGTACAAAAAAAGTCAAAATATTAATAATGTTCCTTGGTTTATCCTGAATCAACCCATTACCCATAGGATGCAGAACTATTAGCCATAAGAACAAAAATAAAAAATAAACATACCTGCATGAATGCTATACATCCATAAGCTCCCACCTTCTTTCTCCAGATAGAAACTCTAATACATCATAAGTACAGACAGGACCAAACCCATTCAATTCCAGTTAGTGTTTGCTGAAGTACAACTTAGTATCAAAGTCCCTATAGTTATATAAAAATATGATTAGAAGTCTCAAAGCCATATAAATTTAAAAGATTAAAAAAGACAGGCACTGACGTTTTAGGTTTGTTCCACTGAGTTGTGTTTTCAGCTCAGGTCTCTATAATGGAAAAAAAAAGAAAAGAAAAAAAAAAAACGACGTTCGACTACTATATTTAAAAAGCTAGATTGTGTTCAAGCTATTTAGAGTAATGCACGTAAGATGTACTAACATGGACTGGGAAATAAATAAACTAGAAGTAACTGGACAACTTGCTAAAGAATACTGCTAAACGTGACCACTTCTCAACAGGTGAAATGTGAAGATTCTTCACGATTAAGGTAATGCCACAATTGCTCAACACTTATGAATCAAAACATGAATAATTCACATAGTTCTTGGTCCAATTACTGACAGAGAGAGTTCCGCCGTCCCATTCACAACTGGGAAAAGAAAAAAAAAACACAAACAAACCAAAACATATAAAACAAGACACACCATGGTAGATTATCAGAACGCAACCACACAGTTTGTAACACTTAAATGACAAGTCTTATTGAGGACTGTTCACAGTACCCAAAATAAGGTCATTCATGGTCAGTAATTATTATTTTTACACCATTGCCTGGTGTCTGGACATTATAAAATGACTGAGTGGTGAATACCATATAGTAATTGACTTAGTGTTCACTCAGGCACAGGCCACTCAAAACCAAAAAAAACAAAACACATTGTTGAAAATCCACACACTTTTTCTGTGTTCAACTGTCTCATGATGCAGTGACTGTGCAGGAAATGCAATCCTTTGGCTTTCTCCTTTTTTGTTTTATTGCAAAAACTGTGCTGTACAGGGGAAAGTGCATCTTGGCTCTCCCATATTGCAGGAAGACATGTCGACGTTCCTCCAGCATTAATGCAGTGGGTTATCAAACACTGTGTCTGGTAGAATGGAAATTTTCAGCTTGTTTGCCGGCCAACTGTATTCCTTTGGTAATTTTAGCTAAAAGTATTTAAAAAAAACAAAACAAAAAAAAACTGTTAAATAAAAAGATAATCTAAATATCGGGCAAAGTAAAATTCAATGCAAAGATATTTTTCCCATGTCAAAGTATGATTTAAAGAACCAAACAACTGTACAGATCATGCCCATACAGTCTCACTCCTCAATTCTCTGTAATTTGGGTCTGTAAGAAGAAAGCAATTTAACGCCTAAAAACGGCAGAGAAGTGAGCAGTGATGCATCCAGGGCATGATGTATACACCAAAACGGCTTCATTAAGCTAAAGTTGCTTTGGTTCTACGAGTATTCCTTTAACTTTCAAACCAATCTTATTGTAGAAGGTTCATTTTAAGATGTTATCTGCTACTGTAAATTGCCTGCTAGTGGAAAGCAGCCTCCTGTGTGAGGTTAGATAAAGAAAGAAAAAAAATAAAATAAAATAAATAAATAAATATATAAGAACAAAGAATTAATAACTCTTTGAAACCTGCAGACTTGCTTGCATTATCAGACAAGCATTTGGTGGGAACTACAATCAGCACAATCTGAATAATATAATTTGGAATGCATCACTAAAAGACCACAAGCACAGCTTAGTAATAGCTTGACTCCTGATGTGCCTGATTACATTAGATCTGTACAGTTTTTTGTTTTGTTTTTTTTAACTAGAAAACAGTTGATCTGGCTTCTTTCAGAATCAGTACAGTTCGCAATCTGGATTTTAAAGACTCTGAATGTCTTATACCCTGTGAACTAAGGACGGTGTCTTTTATGCAAGATCATTATTTAAGGATTTTAAAAAATATTTTCCCGATTAGATTTTTACATTGCGTACTTCGTCATAATAACGTGGGATTCTTGAGGCTCTGGGCTTTAATGTCCAATTTGTGACCTTCTACAAATTATAGGTGATTTACAATGTTTTATCCAATGGTACAATTTACAGAGAAATTATGGTTTCCCTTTAAATATACTGTAACATTAAAAAGGACCACTATAGTGCCAGGAAAACAAACATACTAGTTTTCTTGGCATTATAGTGCCCTGAGGGTGCCCCCACCCTCAGGACCCCCCTCCCGCCGGGCTCTAGGGGATGGAAGGGGTTAAATTTACCTCTTTTTCCAGCACCGGGCGGGGAACTCTCCTCTTCCTCATCGGCTGAATGCGCATGCGCGGTATGAGCAGCGCGCATTCAGCCAGTCCATAGGACAGCATTCTCAATGCTTTCCTATGGACGCTGGCGTCTTCTCACTGAAAATCACAGTGAGAAGCGCAGAAGCGCCTCTAGTGGCTGTCAATGAGACAGCCACTAGAGTCTGGATTAACCCTATTATAAACATAACAGTTTCTCTGAAACTGCTATGTTTATAGAAGGGTTAATCCTAGCTGGACCTGGCACCCAGACCAATTCATTAAGCTGAAGTGGGCTGGGTGCCTATAGTGGTCCTTTAAGTGACTATTCTTCAGTAAACCAAAGTTTTTTGTGTGTGTTAATTTAAGTTTCTTAAATTGCCTTTTTTCCACTCATACTAGCAATTATACAATCCTTTCATTACGAGCTACATTTTGTTTGTGGTTAATTGACACTAATTCCATTAATGATGTCATGGGAAGAGAACTCTAAATGGCAGCAAATAAATCATGGTTTTATTTACATCTTTTGCATATTTCTTCAAGTAAATATTTTAACAGTTTACTGGGGAGAATTAATATTACAGAACGGCCACCACTATATTTTATTAAAATAGGTGATAAATTCTAATGAATGCAAGATACGATATTCAGCAGGGAAAATGGCCAAATTCTGCAAATCTACTCTTTTTTTGTTTTGGATGGCCTGAGGCTGCAGAATCTAAGGCTGGCAGTTTCAAGAGATCTTCTCTTACAATGCATCCCTTTTACTCCCCCTCTCCTCTAACTCAAGCAAATGAGAACTCACTTCCTCTGGAGAGCTTAAATCTTCTAAGTCTTCCAGCATTTTTTCCACCAACTCCTCAGTCAACAAAATCTGAAAAAGATAAAATAGTTCTAGTCTTTTATGTTCAGTTCTCGGTATAATTGGCAGGTATTTGATCTGATTTTCTACAGCATGGAAAATTATTATTATTTTTTTAAACTTTCTCCAGGAAACCAGAAAATAAACAATATATACAGAATTCATGATTCAGTTCATGCTTGATGTGAATTTCTATATTAATCAAGTACCAATGTAGAATTACACATGGAAAAGATTGAAAAAGAAGGGGGGTGGGGAGGGGGGAGAAGGATTAGTAAATTATTCAAGATACTAATAACAGTATCACATTTGTATGAATCTACTTCAATCAATATTCATCACAAAAAATGACTGGTCTTTGGAGTTTTCTTTTAGAATCCAACGTTTAAAAGGGTGAAAGAATTCCAGAGACATTAAAATAGCGAGCATGATCAGAAGAAGCTTCATTGGCAAAATCAGTTACGGCTGAGCTTCTTGAATGTGTCCTCAAAACACATCCTTTGAGTCCAAGTGCTTAAAGGAACACTATAGTCACCTAGATTACTTTAGCTAAATAAAGCAGTTTTATTGTACAGATCGTTCCCCTGCAATTTCACTGTCATTTAGGAGTTAAATCACTTTGTTTCTGTTTATGCAGCCCTAGCCACACCTCCCCTGGCTATGATTGACAGAGCCTGCATGAAAAAACCCCCAAAACAAACAAACAAAAAAACTGGTTTCACTTTCAAACAGATGTAATTTACCTTAAATAATTGTATCTCAATCTCTAAATTGAACTTTAATCACATACAGGAGGCTCTTGCAGGGTCTAGCAAGCTATTAACATAGCAGGGGATAAGAAAATCTTAATTAAACAGAACTTGCAATAAAAGCCTAAATAGGGCTCTCTTTACAGGAAGTGTTTATGGAAGGCTGTGCAAGTCACATGCAGGGAGGTGTGACTAGAGTCCATAAACAAAGGGATTTAACTCCTAAATGGCAGAGGATTGAGCAGTGAGGCTGCAGGGGCATGTTCTATACACCAAAACTGCTTCATTAAGCTAAAGTTGTTCAGTGACTATAGTGTCCCTTTAACGCTACTTCTAATTATTCTCTTTTAAATAGAACGTTGAATTCAAAGTTATTTTTTTGCTCAATTTAGATTTTAAAGCAATAAAAAAAATTTGTGCGGTGTCACAATTATGGATCAACCGATAAAAAAAAATTTAAAAAAAATAAAAAAAAAATTCAGAGCCAATGCCAATTATCGGTCACCTTTCTGGCCGATTGCCAATAACTGGTGCCAATAATCTGCACATTTAAAATGTTCTAAAAAAGTAACAATTGCTACACAAATCTGACATTAACTGAATGTGCGGACAGAAATCACATTCCTATCACTCTCTGCCTGCCAGTACATACTGGGATCAGTGATATCCCAGCATGTACAGTGTTGTTACTAATAGAAGTGTAATTGCGGACTCTAGTCACACTTCTATCACCGTCAGCCATTCCAGTATTTTATTATTCACGATCTCACCTCCCTACATCAAGCTAAGCTCCGCATGTGGAGACTCACAGAAAGGGGTAACAAGAGGTCAGAATGTGGTGCTTCATTAGCTGTTGGCTAGAGTTTCCGGATACACAAGACTGCTTGTGGTGACTAGGAGAGTTGAGTAAGTGATCGGTAATATTGGTAAATTATAAGACAGATACCAATTATCGGTGAAATGCTGAATATTGGCTCTAATAATTAGCAGACCCAATAATTTAAAAAAAATGGTCTATCCCTAGTCCCAATATATCATAAGACCTCCTTTGGCTGATGCTCATGCCTGGATTGAATTAACTCTGTTTCCATGTGGTAGATATTGATCGGGAACAGCATATGAAGCAACGAATCATGTTGCATGTTAATGTGTGAGCAATGCAGTTAAAGAAATACACAACGTTTTTAATAGCTAAATAATCTGTAAATTCTACACAATCTTTGTTCAAATATTTCAATAAATACGAATGAAAACAAAAACCACGTGAGATGGCATGTTACAGAATAAGATCTCAAAAATGTACAAAAATGAATGACTGTGTTCCTTTAATTTACACACCATCAGTACATCATCATAGTTAGCAAATTGTTTTTAAGTACTTACTAATGCATCAACAAGGACCCGAGCTAAAACGGTGTTCAAAGATAACATTTAGTGTAAACGAGATACGTGTTCTAAAGCAAATGAACCACAATAACTAAGAAGCTAAAATTGACAGATAGTTCCTCTTGACTTTCTGTGATCTCTGTAATGCCATATGTGCTCTCTGGAATTACAAAAACCCAGATACACAGTGCCCCAGCAGGTCTACGTCAAGAGAAAAGGGCTACAAATGAGCCAGAATGTTTTATTACTGGAGTCCATTCAAGCAGAAGCATTTAAGGTAATGTTTAACCATTTTTCTGGTTGATTAAATAAAGGAGAACAGCGCAAACAAGACTAAACATAACAGCTTGTCCATAATTTAGGACACATTGATGGCGACTTGTGAAGCTGAAAGACTCTTTCCTGCAGAGCAGTTGATCATTGCTATGTTTTTGTGATGGTCCGCCTACGCAAGGAAAATGGTGAATGCTAAAAGGGGAAGCTCGTTCGCTAATCCTTTTCCTTGAAACATTTAACCGAGCAAGTGCTATAACTGGTTTTATTTGAAGGTGTATGTTAAATACCATAACCACTACAGCCTGTTGTAGTTTTGATGATATCGGGCTGCAGACACCACTCACTAGTCCTATGTCAAATAAGTTCTGTGTGGTTGGAAACCGTGTTCCCTGAGCCCTCTGCTTGACGGACTGCCATTGCAGAACTTCGGGATTGTGACAAAGGTATATTTCACAAAATCTTACTGCAAATATGGCCTTGAAGACAGACTCAGAACATAAAGTAAACATGTTTCATGTTTTAATAACCATGTATCAAACAGCCATCCTTGCCTACTGACAAAGGGCTTCTAAAGCACGAGAAATGTTTAGCCGCTGTCTTTTTACTCAAACCACTTAAAGAAAAAGAATCTAGATCTTCATCTCTATATCTCACACTATATATATTGAACTTACATCAACTTCAAACAAAAACAACTTACTTGTAGCCACGGACCATGTGCTGCATATGGGTGTTCCTCTGTGGCAAAGGCACCTTCCACTCCCGTGGACACAAATGTGATTGCAGTGTCTCCAGTAATACTTTTATATGTAAAATGTCTTCCATGTAACAGTCTTCCCCTACAATAACAAAAGTAAAAAATAAACAAACACCCCCACGGACATCCCTACATACAAAAAGATAGATATAGATATATATATATAGATATAGATATAAAAAAATACCAGGAGCTCCTGCACTCACGCTCAAAATACCCCTTATTGCCCGGGTGCTAGCAAGTAATGGCCATCCATACAAAAATCCAACAAGTGGCTGCACTCACGGTAGATAAAAAAAAAAAAAATCTAAATTTATTGAAGATAAGTTAAAACATCCACGATCAACGTTTCAGTCCTACAAGGACTTTCCTCAGGATCAAAAAGATGAAAAACAGTGTGTATAATAAACAAGACATTTATACATAAAATTAAGAGTGTTAGCTAACCCCAGGTGAAAACCGCCATTCAACCGGCGTTCTAGCCCGCTCAGTGCGCATGTGCAAATTGACTCCGCCCCCTGCCGCAACGTCATGACGTAATCGCGGCCTGATCGTTGCCTCGGTGATGCTGACAAACAAAGCATCACCATGGGTAACGGAACACAGGCAAACAGCCCGAGATGATCGTTGCCATGGTGATGCTAGTAAACAAAGCGTCACCACGGCCAATACATGTGGAAGAGGGCAGACCCGGGTGTAAATATTTACTAAACTAAAAAGCATGTGAAAATATAGAAAAACATTTAAAGATGAAAAATAGGTGTCATATATATGTATGAGCTTTATATTATATTAGCTCAATCCACATTAAAGTGACAACGTTATCAATGTAAACAAAGTGCATAAAGTCATATATATACTCAAATATACATGCATATTATTAAACGACCAGTGCATATAATTAAAAGACAAGTGCATATAGATAAATATAGTGCTCATGAGAGAAGGATGTATGTGGAACTCACATACAAAGCAGTCCATATTTGGATATTTTAAAGTGGCAGTGCATAATATATACATATATACACACACATATATATACATATATACACACACACACACACACACATTATATATATATATATATATATATATATATATATATATATATATATATATATATATATATATATATATATACACACACACACACATATACATATATACACACACACACACATATACATATATACACACACACACACATATATATATATAGCAAACCATAAGTTATTAAAAAAAAAAGTGCTATGAGTGCTGTGTGAATAAACATTTCATACCAAATAGTGCAAATGATCAATCTATTCTCTCTTTAACCCTATATATATGAGGAAAAAGTACATATCTAATAACATTAATGCTAATTTACCTAACAATACATGTACACCTATGTAAAAACAAATACTAGAGATATGCAGTTAAGGATTCCTGAAAAATTATTATGCCTTGAGAGTTACTTCAACAACTACACCCATCAATCATGTATTCTAATTAAATACTTTTCAATACATTGGGCTATGCTTATTCAGCCCTACTACTTAAAGAACCCAAATTGTAAGTAAAAAAATTTTCTTAATAGCATATCTCAGCATTTATATCTAAAATCAAACAACCAATAGCTGGGGCTATAACTCGGACGTAACTATGCATATAGATATATTACACAACTCAAGCCCTTATAACAAGAGTCACTTGTCAGTAAATCTGTTATAAGAACGAATGAAAAGAAATATATTCATTCAAGCCCTTTGGGAAAACTGTGTCCAGTTCATAAATCCAAAATGTCTCTGTTTAAAAGCAGTTTACCCCTGTCCCCAGCCCGTCTTGATACTGGAACATGGTCAATTGCTATGAATTTCAGTGTGGCCAACGAATGATTAAAATCCAGGAAATGTTTCGCCACTGGTTTGTCCGATACACCATCCCTATAGGCCAATCTAATACTGGATCTATGCCCCCTGATTCTTTCGCATAACGCTGTTTCAGTTTTTCCAATATACACCAACCCACATGGGCATGTAAGTTTGTATATAACAAATGGTTTTACATGTGATGGTGCTCCTAATTGTATACTTCTTGTTGGTGCTGGAAAAACTTCGAAGGGGTCATATGCCCACATGTTACACAACCAAGGCAGCGAACACTGCCCCGGCATTGCACTGTAGTATTATCCGCATAACTCAGGATAGGGTCAGTATGAACCAACAGATCTTTCAAATTTTTGTTTCTCTTGAAACAAACCAAAGGTTGTTCCAAAAAGACCTTGGGGAGGGTGTCATCCGCTGCCAATATTCTCCAATTTTTTCTAATAGCCGAGGAAATTTGACAAGTAGATTGATGGAACGTGGTAGGAAAAAACATTCTTTGTGTTGTCGCTGTTACCCTAGGTTCTCGAGGGACCCTAGCCTCTCAATGCTTTTTCAAGGGTGGAGCGGTGGTACCCACGTTCCAAAAATTTGTTAGTCATTTCAATCAATTGCCTCTCTTTGATGTTCTCATTGGAGTTATTTCTCATCACCCGCAGATATTGGGCCTTTGGGAGAGAGTCCTTCAAGCCTTGGGGATGGGCACTATGTGCATGAAGAAGGGTATTGCGATCAGTAGCTTTCGTAAACAAGCTATATTCCAATTTGTTTGTGCCAACGGACAATTCAACATCCAAATATTGGATTTTTTCTGTGCTGATATTCGCCGTCATTCTTATAGGTACTGGTAGCTTGTTTAGTTCATCGACCATGTTGTGCGCTTCTATTATGGTACCATTCCAAATAATTAAGAGATCATCGATGAAACGATAATAGCCTTGTATTAAATGGCCATATGGGAACAAGATATTTTTCTGTTCGTACACAAACATGTACGCATTAGCATACATGGGGGCCATTTCTGCCTCCATCGATGTGCCAGAAATCTGTAAATACCATTGATTTTCAAAACGAAAATAGTTACGTTCCAAGGTGATTGCCAGAATTTCCAATACAAATTCAATAGGTGGACCTTTAAACACTGTCGAAGCTGTAAGTACCTGTCGCATAGCCTCAATCCCTTCTTCATGTGGGATTACAGTGTAAAGGCTCTTTACGTCCATAGTGATTAGCAGGGGTTGGGTTTCCATAAATAATCTCCTTGACTTTGTTCAAAAGCATAGGTGTATCTTTTATACAAGTTCCCGTCTGTTTAAACAAGAAGTCAAGCCACTTAGCTAAAGGTTCTAAAATTCCTTTAATCGCGGACACTATTGGGCGTCCCGGAGGCTTCTGAGCATTCTTGTGGATTTTCGGGATGCTATAAATGATAGGGCTTCGCGGGTTCTTTTGATTCAAATATTGGAATAGATCCAAGTCTATATATCCGGCCCTCAATCCCATAGATGAAATGTCATGTATCACACATTGAAACTCCTGAGTAGGATCATGGTCCAGGGGAAGGTAAACATTTGGATCTTGTAATTGACTTTTTAATTCATTAGCATAGTCAGAATAATTCATGATGACTATCCCACCCCCTTTATCTGCGGAGCGTATAATTATGGATCGATCCTCAGCTAAATTTTTTATAAGTTGGCGTTGACGTTTTGTGACGTTGTGTCTCTTATTAACAGGGTTGCACATTACTGTCTTTGCATCTTTGTTTGTCAATGATAAAAAAGTTTTTATTGAAGCTTTATTAGTAGGTGGGTCGAATGATGAATTAAGACAGAATTTCTCCTTGGTTCCATAGTTGGTGTCAACTGAATTAAATTCACTTTTGCTGAAATACTCTTTCAAACGAAGGTTTCTTCCAAACTTAAACCACTCCACTTCCCATTTGAATGGATTCACTTCTGCTGTGGGGACAAATGACAATCCTTGACTTAACAAGACAGATTCTTCCTGGATAAGCGGTCGGTGGGATAAGTTGAAAATTGGGATTACTTCTTGAGCGGTGGCTTGCCCTTTGGCATCCTTTTAGTATACCCCCCTCTCCTGGTTCTGCGGTTCCCCTTACACGGCTTCTGGTAGAAGTTCCCACTTCTGGGGTCTCTAAAAAAAAGAGGAGTATGTGGTGTAGGTTCCTTCATATTCTCGGAGGCCAACTCCCCAGATGTAGTGTCAATAGTTACAACCCGGGGTTTAATAATTCTTTTGCGTTGCCGCCTTGGCCTCTGTGTGCCATTGCTGGATAACCATCTATAGACTCTATGGTCCAGGTAGTCCTGTTGGACTCTCTCGAATTTTTGCTTTTTGAACCTAATCAGTTCGTTTTTATATTTCAGCAATTCCTCATGGAGTTTTTTTTAATAATTTCTGTCCCTCCACTGAGGCCAATAGTACGGCATGTTCAGTCTCCACCTCCGAGATCTTTTTCTCCACATCTACCAAGTCCTCCTTCACATCTTTAATTATAATAAGCATCATATCCAATGATGCTTTGTTCAAGACCATAGTCCATTCTCTACAAACCTTGGCTTTACCCCTTCCAATGGTGGGTACATTGAGTACTCTAAACCCCCTAGGGATCCTTTTCGCCTTGTAGTAATCAGAGAGGAACAATCCATGCATATCCAGATCAATCGGCTTCCTCCGTAATTTAGACAATTTAAAATAAACATCCTTAGCGGATAAATGGTGTGGAAGTTCCAGACCAGTTTGTTCCCATAGAATGTTTTCCGCTTCCTCCTGGGAAAATTGCATAGTATCCGCTTGTTCCGAATATGCCCCAGCTTGGAACAAAAATTCATCCATGCTTATAGTTTAGTGAATAAACCAAAGAATAATAATAAAAAGCAAAAAATGTCCTTATGATCAAATGGGTTCAGGGTTCCAAAGCAATCTACACAAATTGTGTCCAATTGCTAAAGTGCTGGTGCCAGGAGGGGGTTAAGGCCAATAACCCTATAGACAGAAAAAAATACCAGGAGCTCCTGCACTCACGCTCAAATACCCCTTATTGCCCGGGTGCTTGCAAGTAATGGCCATCCATACAAAAATCCAACAAGTGGCTGCACTCACGGTAGATAAAAAAAATCTAAATTTGGACTGCTTTGTATGTGAGTTCCACATACATCCTTCTCTCATGAGCACTATATTTATCTATATGCACTGGTCGCTTAATAATATGCATGTATATTTGAGTATATATGTGACTTTATGCACTTTGTTTACACTGATAACGTTGTCACTTTAATGTGGATTGAGCTAATATAATATAAAGCTCATACATATATATGACACCTATTTTTCATCTTTAAATGTTTCTATATTTTCACATGCTTTTTAGTTTAGTAAATATTTACACCCGGGTCTGCCCTCTTCCACATGTATTGGCCGTGGTGACGCTTTGTTTACTAGCATCACCATGGCAACGATCATCTCGGGCTGTTTGCCTGTGTTCCATTACCCATGGTGATGCTTTGTTTGTCAGCATCACCGAGGCAACGATCAGGCCGCGATTTTGTCATGACGTTGCGGCATGGGGCGGAGTCAATTTACACATGCGCACTGAGCGGGCTAGAACGCCGATTGAATGGCGGTTTTCACCTGGGGTTAGCTAACACTTAATTTTATGTATAAATGTCTTGTTTATTATACACACTGTTTTTCATCTTTTTGATCCTGAGGAAAGTCCTTGTAGGACTGAAACGTTGATCGTGGATGTTTTAACTTATCTTCAATAAATTTAGATTTTTTTTATCTACCGTGAGTGCAGCCACTTGTTGGAGAATATGAATAATATATATATATATATATATATATATATATATATATATATATATATATATATATATATATATATATATATATATATATATATATATATATACACACATATATATTATATATACACACAAACATATATATATATATATATATACAAAAATACTCTTGGCACTCACCCATTAAAAACTTTTTTCTTTTTATCTTTGATATCTTTGCCTGGGTGCAAACCTCAGCGTGAATATGTATATTTTTCATAGAAAAAAGGTGCACTCACAGGACTTCTTCCATCAGTGATTTTATTCTAAGTTGTGCATTACATTCGTAATCTTCAATCAACGTTTCGACCCCTAAAGGGTCTTTTTCAAGATCAATATAACAGTGAAATGAACATATATATATAGGTAGATAAATGAAATAGTCACTTACCCAACAGGTGTGTGGAGATGAACTCCCGCCCGGCCGCCCGAAACCCGGAAGTGAGTAGGTGCGACCACGTGACTGAGCGTGATGACGCGTGTCGCAAGTGTCGTTGCTAAGCAACGTAAACAAATCCTTTGTGATTATTTATTTTACTACGAGCTCAAAGACAGCTCGAAGAGAGAACATCAAATTGTGTGCCAAGTGCCCAGTGAATTTAAAATAAGTCCTAAACCAAAAGGACACCCAAAAGTTTATAAACAATACCATGAAGAGGAATATATACAATATGGCTATCTGAGACTATAGACTGACAGCATACACCAGCTAAACTGTATACAGATGATACAGCAAGTGCTACTAATGTGCAAATTTATGTTAATCAAAAATAAACCTAATGCCAAATAACTCTGGAAATATAAACTGTCAGAACAAATATTCAATCTCATAGCACAATGAAATAATTATGTGAAAATCTATACACAACCACTATTATAGAGCAAGCTGAATGTCTATTTATGTTACTAAAAAACACATTATGCAGAAAATTACCATAAAATTAGTGCTGTTATTACTACTAAATTTATAGCAGAATCTAGCCTTAAACATTAGTGAGTAGCTTATATGGCAATGTTATCCATATTCTTTAACAATAGAGCAACCTGTTATAATAAGGGACTAGAAATGTATTTTGGAAATCTATATTGTACCCAGACTAAACATTTGATGCATCTATCCTCCAAATAAATACATAAGCAACATCGGAGATATAGTATCTACTACTAACGTGCACAAGTATAACATGCAATAATTACCAATATATCAGATTCAATAACCAAACCATATAACGTTGTTTGATTAAATAACCTGCAGATCAGAATAAATCTGCATTCTGATCTGCAGGTTATTTAATCAAACAACGTTATATGGTTTGGTTATTGAATCTGATATATTGGTAATTATTGCATGTTATACTTGTGCACGTTAGTAGTAGATACTATATCTCCGATGTTGCTTATGTATTTATTTGGAGGATAGATGCATCAAATGTTTAGTCTGGGTACAATATAGATTTCCAAAATACATTTTTAGTCCCTTATTATAACAGGTTGCTCTATTGTTAAAGAATATGGATAACATTGCCATATAAGCTACTCACTAATGTTTAAGGCTAGATTCTGCTATAAATTTAGTAGTAATAACAGCACTAATTTTATGGTAATTTTCTGCATAATGTGTTTTTTAGTAACATAAATAGACATTCAGCTTGCTCTATAATAGTGGTTGTGTATAGATTTTCACATAATTATTTCATTGTGCTATGAGATTGAATATTTGTTCTGACAGTTTATATTTCCAGAGTTATTTGGCATTAGGTTTATTTTTGATTAACATAAATTTGCACATTAGTAGCACTTGCTGTATCATCTGTATACAGTTTAGCTGGTGTATGCTGTCAGTCTATAGTCTCAGATAGCCATATTGTATATATTCCTCTTCATGGTATTGTTTATAAACTTTTGGGTGTCCTTTTGGTTTAGGACTTATTTTAAATTCACTGGGCACTTGGCACACAATTTGATGTTCTCTCTTCGAGCTGTCTTTGAGCTCGTAGTAAAATAAATAATCACAAAGGATTTGTTTACGTTGCTTAGCAACGACACTTGCGACACGCGTCATCACGCTCAGTCACGTGGTCGCACCTACTCACTTCCGGGTTTCGGGCGGCCGGGCGGGAGTTCATCTCCACACACCTGTTGGGTAAGTGACTATTTCATTTATCTACCTATATATATATGTTCATTTCACTGTTATATTGATCTTGAAAAAGACCCTTTAGGGGTCGAAACGTTGATTGAAGATTACGAATGTAATGCACAACTTAGAATAAAATCACTGATGGAAGAAGTCCTGTGAGTGCACCTTTTTTCTATGAAAAAAAAAAAAATATATATATATATATATATATATATATATATATATATATATATATATATATATATATATATATATATATATATATATATATATATATATATTCTCCAACAAGTGGCTGCACTCACGGTAGATAAAAAAAAAATCTAAATTTATTGAAGATAAGTTAAAACATATATATAAAAATAAATCTCAACATTCCTTTTGTTGACGTCACCAATGTTCTATTCACTATGCCAATTTAAACGGGAAAAGTTAGGACACAGTATTAAGTATAGAATGTGCTCTGCATTAATTATTTTCTGCAATAGGAGTTCCCATACACCACACACTGATGCGGACCAAGGGGGTAAAAATAAAAACACACACTTGCAAAAGACAATCTTAGAGTGACACTACAGTCACCAGAAGAACTACCACTTAATCCAGTGGTTCTGGTGTCTATAGCCTGTCCCTGAAGGGTTTTCAATGTAAATGCTGCCTTTTCAGTGAAAAAGCAAATGTTTAAACTGGTGCCTGATAACAACACTAGTTACAGTCACTCAGACGGCCACTAGAGGTGCTTCAGTGAAAGCATGGAACATTTCCCATAGAGATGCATTAATTCAATGCATCTCTATGAGGAGATGCGGATTGGCGCAGCGCAACATTTTAAGGCACATGTGCAAGAGCTTCCCAAAGCTACAGCACTTCTTCAAATTTGCAGCAATATCCACAACAGAGGACAGTCTACAGTGAACCTTGCACCGGATTTGGCTAGGTCACTCAGCATCATACCAGGTTAGGTCAGTTTAGTAGATATACAGTATGCAGCCTTTACAAGCCCTCCCCAAACTGTCTGTGGCTGTCCAATAACAGACTTCCCAATGCAGCTCAATGAGTAGCCTTTGCAAGACAAGAGCTCTGGGCAATTGCTGCCTCTTGAATTGAACGTCACGGAGCTATACTACCAGGAACTAACATGACAGGTTGTTTGAATGACAGCCAGGGGGTGTAACAATGTTAATTTATTAAAGTGCCAATTTCTGTTGAAATCTGTACTGTTGAAAAAGAGCACACTCTTCACACATAATGCACTTCAGCAAGCTAAAGTGCTTTAGGAGTGTGAAGTGTTCCTTTAAGTATATTCCTTACCTTAAACAAAGGGGAATCAGTGTTCCAGACTCCTGGTTAAACTTGAGGTGAACACTCTCGAGTTGTCTTGTACGTATTAACTCATGAGGAATAAGAGCTGCAGAGCTTTCACTCTCTAAGCTATCTTTTCGACTCCTTCCAAAAAAAATTAAAAAAAGTGTATTATTTTGAAACGTTTGTATGCAGTGCACAGATATTACAATGCAGAAATCCAGGCAGATCTTAGTTACATTAAGCTACAAGAAGCATTATGTTTAATGAAACAAACCTAATATTGTATGTAGGCCTCTGGCAGGAAGTATAAACAATACCTAGCATTAGAATGAACATTAAGTTACAAATAATGAATACTCTGTTTATACCAGGTAGTCTTGCTGGAGAACTACAGGAGTAAAACATTTCCTATTGGTCTGGCTCCACCCTGCATGTTTTTAGGAAGGGTATAAATACACTGTTGCAGTTGAATATATCAAGCACATGTACAACAGCAATAATGTGGTTAAGATGATGAGTAGGTAAAATGTATACAATACTCTTGGGCTTTTAGAACACTCGTAGGGAGATTTTACTTAGAAGATGCCAATAATAACCCTATTTACCTCGGCATCGCACAAGGCTAGTGCCTACCTGAACCGAACGTCCCGAGAACTAATAATGAAAAGAAATGAATAATAAGTGCACATTATGCTACCAAAGTGAAACAAAATAAAGTGGTGACAAAAGAAACGTCCTTTCCTTTGTCACCACTTTATTTGACGTTCAGTTCGGATAGGCACTAACCTTGTGCGGTGCCGAGGTATATAGGGTTATTAGTAGAATCTTTATGGACTCTAACCAATGTTACTTCTATTGACCTCAAGTTCTAAGAGAAGATATAAGATTCAGGTTAACGAATATTCATTTAGCTCGTTCAGACTTCCCTCTCCAGGCTATTAACACTTTCTTTAGAGAGGTCTTTACGTGGATTGAGGGCTCTCTGTTTGGTGGAACCAAAATATCAATGATTCTATGGGTATTGGAGTCCTTTGCTACTCCCCTTTCATGGATACCATTCGGTGGATATTCTTTATATCAGATATTGTGTCTGTAGTCTCCACTTCCCTCGTTTTCCCTAGATACTATTTGATCACATTGTATATTTAGCTATTCTAGGTCTATTTAGTTGTACTAGATGTAATAAAGTTAGGGTTCTGTTTTACCACCCTCCCCCCCTTTTTGTTTTTAAATCTCACTGTGCTCTCACTGTTGGACTCCCTGATAGTGGAGTGTCCTGGGATTTCATTTTCACCTGTTGTGTTATTTGAGGGTTACCTCCTCGTAGGGAGCAAAGTTTAGGTGACTTCCCTCCATACTTGGAGGTGTGATTCTGTGATACTCTCCCTTCCTCCTTGGCATGCGTGTGTGGGTAATCGCCATATCTATTTCTTAATTAAATTATATAAAAAGGCTGCACACCACCTAACTTGTAAAGCAGGTGGATCGTTGTCGGTTGAGCCTTCTTGAATAAGAGAGTAAATTTGAGAGAGTGGTCTCAGAGTACCTGGGTCTATACATGAATTTTCAAGGAGTGTGAGTTCCCTAGGTGTCTAAAAGGGCAAAATATGCTTCCTTAAGAAGTGGGACAGTTGGGAGTAACACAGATTATCGAACAGAGAAATATTGAGGGATTGACCTTTGAGTTCGGCAATGGTAGTTATATTGTCATTTAGAATGGAGCCAACGGTAGAGCATTCAGCTCCTGGGAGTCATCTACTCGTTTGTGCTCCCGGTTTGTCCTGGAAATATGGGTTATCATTTGGGAAGGAGGAACAGAGGGGAGATACCAGGTGACAAATACCCAATACCTTGGACATCCATTAGAGGCACTTCCTGGAAGAAGTACTGCAAAAATTGCAAATTGAGGAGATGCGGAGTGGCGCAGCAGAGCTATTAACGACCATTCACAGTTGCCCCAGTAATGATGGTCGCAGCCAGATAAGTGGAGGCACAATGACACCAGCAAAACCAGGGGAAATAAGATTAGTAAATCTAGACTATTGGGCCACCCAGAAAATAAACAGTGAGTATAAGGTTCCAGTGGCTAAAGAGTGTTCCTTTAAAGTCTGCTGTATGTTTTCACACATTTTTATAAAGAAGTTCCCCTTTAAATTATCAGAAGTGCTCATTGGACCTACTGGTTTCTATTAAAAAAATCAGTGACAGAATTCCAAATTACTTTACATTCAAATCTCATAAGGTTACAGTGTGGAGAGTTAAGTTGGCACTGCAATAACTTTAGTTTGTCACAAGATGGAGCTGTACATAAAGATAGATGTGCAGCAATGGTTTAATATGTCATCTAATTAGACTACATATGTCTCATACACTTGTTAATAAACACAAAATTTGACAAAAAAAAAAAAAAAAAGTCCCCTTTACGAACTGAGGACTGTAGGTGCATGTGCGGCACTTGCCGATATGGGCCTGCGATTCAGATACAGAGAATTATTAAATACAATGATTCTTTAAGACAAAGCGTGATGTCACTGAGCAAACATGAAAACACGATATGAGAGCTGGGATGTAAGGTAGTTACAGCCATGGTTCTCATACCCAGATGGCTAAGGGAAATAAAAGTTATACCAAACCCCATGCCTGGCTAATAAACAGTTAAAAGCACCAATACATGCACCTGGGTGCCAGGCTACTAAATAAACCCAGTGTAGTGCCGAGAGAAGTTAGCAGTACAGGAATCTTTATAGATTTCATACCAAGCTGTGGCACCTGTACAAATATTTTCTCCTCTCTGCCTTTCATACCTTTGTTATAGCCAGGTAACACTAACAATACAAGCACTAGCTGCCAATAATCAGAGTAGGTCCCTTTGATTTTTGTCAAGCTGTTTAGGAGTGTTTTGACAACAACAAATGGTGCTCACACAAGGAGACCTCCCCTACCTAAGGCTGCGTGAGAATGTAGAATTTCCTCTTTTTCCTCTACGCAGGACAGCGGTGACTGGTAAGCTTCTTAAAATTTTATAAATTGTTGATAAACTTTTAAAATAAGTATTTTCAAAATATTATCACAAAAATTATATAATTACAAAAATGTCAATATATCAAAAAATATTAGATCATATTGTAAAGCATTGCTGACTAAGATGGCGCTATATAAATGCCAATAATAATTTGAAAACCTCAATTTTAGAAAATAATGTGGAAGTGTAAACTATGAATTATCAATGTGACTCCACAGTGAACCGTCTTGTGTGTCAAATATATTATGTGATGCACTCCAAGAAAAGGCTGCATCAGATCTCTCCCAAAGCCAAAAGGGGTCTCTACTGCTTTGCTTTCTAAGGAAAACTTTGCAGCTACAGTAAAAACACTTTATTGTGGGAAGTCAGCTGATGCCAGCCACACTGCTGGAATGTTAATTCATGACCCACTGAACAGCAGGGGTTAAAACCACTGGATAAAGCTTGGGGGAAGGGAGGAGAACATATTCACCAAGATCCAAATTGTAACTAAAGTCTGAATGGCAAAGCATGCAGGCAAACAGGATTTATTCTCCAAGTCAGCTATAGCAACAGTTTGGTTATTTGAGCCTATTTATTGCCAGATTTCAAGTCAGCACAATTCACAGTTTAGAGAATAACCTGCAGCATGTTTGTGCTACACTTCACTCAAATGAATAGAGGTGGATGGTTTTAGGGGGTTTTCCCATTGCTGATTTACTAAACATGTCATCTGTGTGCTTTCGGTGTTCTGAATTAAGAGTATAAGTGTCTGTAGAGACCTGTTCAGAGCAGAGTCTCCCTAATTAGTTATTCGTATAAAATCAGCTGAAACTTGCTTTTCTAGAGAACATTTGATCGATGGACAAATGATTACCATAAGTAATTGCCAACATGCAGAGATATACTAAGTCTCACAATATTCCGTAAAGATATAAAACATAATTGGTGGGGTTAGTTCTTATTTTAACAATACTTACGGCGCCCGGTCATGGTTCATGCCATTGTGTCGCTGTGAACTTATAGGAGGTAGAACAGATTTACTGTTTATTTCAAGGCCTCTTCGTAAAGCTTCTCTGATTTGCTCTGTGTCTGCAATTACAAGGTTCAAAATGGAAATGACAAGCACCACAACTATCTATGCCCTTAACATGGAGCAAGAAGTCTCTGATCGTAAAATCCAATAATTATCTTCATTAAAGCTGCAAGTAACTGCACAAGTCAACCACCCAGCCAATGGGTGACACCACAGGGAGAGTTATGATGCCTCCTGGATGCACATGTTATTTTACAGCAGGTGCTCCCATTGTGCTATAAAAAAAAAAAACCTGGCTGACTTGTTTCTTTCTCACAGCAATTGAGGCAAGCTGAGCATAAACATTAAGCTCAAAGAACAAGGTAAGTTAATTTACAACAAGCCTTTTTCGCTAGTTTTCTGAAATGTTTTTAAAAGTAGATTTCACTATATGAAAAATATGTGCTAACACATTATTCCATAAAAATAAAAAAAAATGTTCTCCTTTAAAGAATAAATTGGTCAAATGTCTGATGTTAATAGAAACAGCCTCCCGGGATTTCTCTGCACATAACTTACCTTTGCCTGACAAGCGTCGCTGCTGGGTGCCAATGCAAATGCTCCTACTGTCATCTTCATCTTCCGGGGGGCGACTCAGATCATCCCACGCACATTTAGCGCTCACACCACTAAGGTTCGATCCTTCTGTTTCAATACCCTTATCAACTCTCTCCTGCTTAATAAAGTAAGGAAAAACAAGACATGACTCTGGAGGAGCTTGTTTGGGGTACGGCAGCGTTCCCATCATTTTTTTTTTCTAATTGCATCAGGCATCCAGTGGAGACACAAATTTTCATGCATGCATACAAAATGAATTACTTTTCACACAGCAGCTCAAAACTAAGTTAAAACAATGGAGTAATTCCCGAGAAACTGAAAAACCAAGTAAGGCTGGATGGTTACAGAGGGGAGAATACAACTAGTGCTATATCGTGTCCATTTATTTCAGAAGTCTCCAAGACATCTGTATGCTTCCCTTCCACTTTGGAAGTTAAGTTTGGAAACTAAAACGCACATTTAGAACACAGTTTACCATGCTATTTGCATATAATGTGGTGCAAAAGGCTTTCTTGCCATAGTCTCACAAATCTGTTTGCTACATCTGTCCTGTGACACTGCAGGGAGAGGTTATACATCCATTTCCCATAAAGTATTTGCATGATGTGGTATGACATATGTAAACACTCCATATAACTCCATGTTCGTTGTATCTCCACCCCAACTCGTAAAATAAATTACAACTCTCATCAACTACTGTAATAGAAAGCGCAGTCCAAGTACCATAGCTTACATATTGGATTTATTTACATCGATCCTTAAAATGATCCTGCGGCAGAGTGTTGTACTACTGCACCTCCTATAAAGCTTCAGCAATAGTTTACAGGGCTCAGCTTGATGCCAAGGAGTGCCTGATAAATCTCAGTCACAGGCAGGAGATGTAATTTAATAAAATTCAGAGATGAGCAGCCATCCCACCATTTGTTTCTCAATTAAGCATTAAAATGACAGAGATAGTCAAAAACAGCATGCAGTGTCCCTTTAAACAGCATTATAAAAAGTTTACTAAGGCATCCATTTGCCTCATACTATTGGCTAGTGAGTATTTGACCTTTATACCAATCAGACATACTTGCAAATGTGGATCAATTTCAAATATAGTTTCTCCTCTTCGCATATCTGTTATCAACCAGGGTCCTCCAGCACTTTAAATAAGACAAACATTTCCAAAAATTAATATTGTTGTATTAAGGCAAAAGGGGAATACAAAAATAAATATTTGCTAGGAAAAGACTTGTTGACGGAGCAAGGTCGGGTAAAACTATGGCTTTGGTCAACAACTGCATTCAAACAGGTTTTAAGTCTATAAATACATACAGACAGCACCAGAGATGCTTTAAAATTAAAATAAATAAATATAATCAGTTACTTGTAAAGCATCATACTAAAAGCGGGTATAGCAAATCTTGGCAGTGTAGAGGTTTCTGAATGGTTTTTCCTTTGATGCCCTGAATGGACAATGCATCAATGCCAATAGTCTACCATTCTACCTGGTACCTAACACACATACTCACTCAGGAACACTACTCACACAGGAACAGTGCGGAGGAGTTCCAGAATCCCCTGTCCATTCCATTGCTGAGCTGCATGTAACTCCTCTGTGCATATGCCAACTATCTAAAAAGAAAATATCAAAAGTAACCATAAGCGGTGTTCTTAGAATTGCAATATTTTCCTCTCAAAATAGGAGTCAAAGTCTTTTAAAAAATGACCGTTCCAGGCTTTGCCTTTTCAAATGTGAAAAAAAATTGGCACCCGGCCCCACATTTTTAAAAATGTATTGTATAGATAACATTAAAATGAAGAACTCTATTTCTATTCCATTTTTCTTTAAATGACCCTAAAGTTGCACACTCAAGAGAGGCAGTCTACAGCTAGTCAGACACCTCCCTGATCAATAAGAAGTTCTACCGGTCTGGATCATCCACCAATGATGTCAGTTATCTGATCTGCTCCAATAAACAAGTCGTGCATAGGTTTGTAGGATAAGCAATGCCTCACTTAGCAGCAGTTCTTTTCATCACATAGGATGAGTGAGAAATCGTTAAAAAAAAAAAAAAACAGATAAATATCATATGACACAATCCTGTTTTGAGACAGCTATTCGAAGCACTGTTGCCAGTTTCTTCTGATGGCCCTGCTCTCCTTTTCCTCTATTATCGTTTTCTTATTCTTCAACTTTGTTTTTCCTCTCTACATTGTTGTTTTTTTTGTTTTGATTTTTAAACTCATTTTATTGATATTTGCACAATAATAAGAGTATATCATGATTTGAGATATCTTCATGAAGAATTTTAACGATTTTTGTTTGTTCTATGGTCTTCAAAACTAACTCCATTATTACAAAATCCACCTACTTAAGCTAAACAAATACGAGTCACACCAGGCTACCTTCAAAAACTGTTTTGTTCAAATATCATCCTGGCTACAGCTTCAATGTGGTAACCCTGGAATTAAAGAGGATTGAGATCATTTCAATCACCTGCTGCTCTTACAGGTAGTTTTCTTTTACAAACAGGTTATTGAGAAGAGTATTCATTATAAGCAGGCGGAGCAGAGTTTAGCCCAGGGGAAGGCAACCTTTTAGTAATACTGTGCCAAAACAAGAGTTTGAAGTCCCTTGTGACGGTCCTACTTTAAATTAAAGGTGTGTCTGTTGCTATATACTACTTGCGTTATTTATGGCGGCTGCAGTTTGTAGTGTTGTATTTGTGCATATGTAGGCGGTTCTATCGTACAGTATATGGTCATGAGTAGTTTGTGGTATTGTTAATGATTGTCAGTGGTTGTGTTTGTGGGGACTGTGCGTGTGTTAGCGTGTGGGCTGTTTTCAATATTTGTATTAGGGGGAGGCTTCTTCTGCAGCTCTGTGTATATCTAGCATTGTGTGTGGCTTCCATGGGGTCCAGGCTGGCCAGGTAAAGGACAGGAGCCGTGATAGCTGCTGAGGGCTATCCTACTCTGTGAAGAAATCCCTCTTTTATGTGTAATATTTCTTCCCTATTCATTCGGTAGATATAACTACCGAACAGAGACCACCCCCCTGGCTTGTTAAACTTAAAAAAATGCCTCAATTGAACCCTCTATCTGTGCGGCCGGTGTTCGTGCTACCGAACGCCACGTGGCTGAGAAAACGGCGGCCATCTTTTTCCATGCAAACAAAGGCAGAGGGACTTGGTCGTCGAGTGTCTGGAACTAAAATCGGACACTACTTCCCGAACACCGGATCTCTATTTCCCGAACAGCTAGAAGAGCGCTGTTCGGTACTTTTGTGCATTCGAATGAGGGGAACAATCGCTGCTAAGAACCAGGGGAAGCCATTCGTGGAATTATTCGTTTTTATCACTTAACTGAATAGGCCAGCAAAACCACCTAAACTCCTGGAACTATTTTGGGCAGCCATCACGCGGTTAGCCGGTCACAAAAGACTTCCATACTTTGAGAACCCCTGAACCGATCTGGGTGAAATTTGAATATGTTGTTCACCCAGATCGGGGCTATCAGGGGACATATTGTTTGTGGGGATACCCTATGCCTAAAGGGGTGTTCTGAATATTGGGGAAAATTTTAATTTTTCTGCACGGAGATAATCAAGTTATTACTTTATCAGACTTGATTATATCCAGGACTAGGGGAGGGAATTCTGTTTGTGCTGGGTGTGTTTTACGGTTTTCCTGTAACTGATTGGTGGTACTGTGTCCCCTTGCATCCCCTGCTTCTTGATTTCGGCTGATGTTTGGGGATTCGAATGCTTTTTTAAGGGAATTATCTTGTAAAGCTATTGTGTTCGTATGGATTTAGTTTATTTCATCTACCGAACGGAGAGCTATAAATCACTGAGGCTCTGGCGGTTCGGGAGGAAACTACCGAATGAGGATTGGATATACTAGGTTTCCTTACATACTCCAACATGGATTCACAGTCACATCTGAGATCACTTCCTCTAAGTGCTGCAATGCGTAAATTGAGCATTGTCCCTCACAACCTGTGATCACCGCTCAGTTTGACCTAGCAGTTATCTGAAGTCTCACTGCGACTCCTAATAGGTCAGAACCAAACGCTGAGTGCTGCGCAAAGGAGCCTGGAGTGCCGTAAGTTGCTGACTCCTGGTTTAGCCATTAAAGGCACCAAAGAATGTACAGGTGATCTAAGGTGAGTAGCATGGCAAGCACCAAGTAATTAGCTGCATGAACACACAGTTCTACATTGAATGAAATGCTACAGGACAAGTATGATTTTATTCTATGCATTAAAAACATATATAACCCCCACCTGTAAGAATGATACCATCCCAAATGGAGTCTGTACTGGCTGCATCTGAGGGTCTTCTGTCAGGAGCATGTGCTGAATTCGAGACTCACTGTTGTCCAGAGGACTGTGCCATGATACATGATCACCACTGCAGAACGTGTTCTCTGTAAAAAAGGGAGACAAGGGCTGTTTCTGTACCATAGATAGCAATGTCTTGCAAACCTATTGCCATTAATTTTCAGCATTACTTTGCCATGTTTAAGACTGTTGGGTAAGCAGAAGTGGACATAATTCTGAAAACAGTTAAAAAGAGTTAAAAACTGAATTGCAAACATTATGACAAAATGACAGGTGGGAGAATTCACAAACCTTGGAGATATAGGTACTGCATAGCTATTTTAGTTTTAAAGGACAACTGTCACAACTATTTTAATATAATCTTTTTATCAGGGGAGTGACGCATGAAAGACCACCGAGACTCAGATTTCAGAGTCAAGGTGCTTTGGCAGAGTAAAAAAATAAAAAAATTATATATATATATATATATATATATATATATATATATATATATATATATATATATATATATATATATATATATATATATATACACACACACACACATACACACACACACACACACACACACACACACACACATTATTAGAAATAGTGAAAATAGCAAAATTTGATCAAAGGATATTTGAGGTGACAGTTTATCAATATTGGAACTCAATTTTCCATTTGCTAAAACTTGCTTACTGTTCATTTACAAGCAGTTTAGTACCTTTTACGTTAACACAGACAGGAGAGGGTCATGGCCTGAAATTAGGCACAAAGCTCTAAATTTCGGGCAATCACTTTGGAAATCAGAGATTGCCTCACTTTTAGATTACTCCACATTTAGAACTTTACACCAATTTGTTAAATCTTGTCCAAAGTAGGTTTGTTTTTTTGTGTGTTTTTTATATTTTCCAGCTCAGAGAGATAAACCACTGACATCAGTATGCCTTGCTCATGTCTGTGGATATGTTTTTATAGACATCACTGAAAATCTAAATAAAATTCAATTAAAATACACAAAGGAGTCAAAAACACTAGTTGTATCTTATGACAGAGAACATACTTCATAGAGGTTATACCTTTACAAATACAATTTATTCTGCCAAGTGTAAAATTGTAGATGTACCAGATTATACTGAATGTAGTTATTCTGACATTTAATGTGGATAAGTGCAAGATAATGCACCTTGGACGTAAAAACTCAAGGACACAGTAGAGAATATTTGATAGTCCTAATCTCAACATCTGAGGAAAGAGATTTAGGGGTGATTATTTCAGATGACTTAAAGGTAGGCAGACAATGTAATAGAGCAGCTGGAAATGCTAGCAGAATGCTTGGTTGTATAGGGAGAGGAAGTAGCAGTAGAAAGAGGGAAGTGCTCATGCCATTGTACAGGACACTGGTGAGACCTCACTTGGAGTATTGTACACAGTACTGGAGACCGTATCTTCAGAAGGATATTGATACCTTAGAGAGGGTTCAGAGAAGGGCTGCTAAACTGGTTCATGGATTGCGGGATAAAACTTACCAGGAAAGGTTAAAGGATCTTAACATGTATAGCTTGGAGAAAAGACGATACAGGGGGATATGATAAGAAACATTTAAATACATAAAAAGGAATCAAACACAGTAAAGGAGGAGACTATATTTAAAAGGAGAACGACCACAACAAGAGGACAGTCTTAAATTAGAAGGGCAAAGGTTATAAAAAAAAAAAAAATTGCAGAAACTATTACTTAACTGAGAGGGTAGTGGATGCATGGAATAGTCTTCCAGCCGAAGTGGTAGAGGTTAAGTGAGGGAGTTTAAGCATGCGTGGGATAGGCATGAGGCTATCCTAGACTTAAGATAAGGCCAGGGACTAATTAAAAGTCTTTTGAAATATTGGGCAGACTAGATGCGCCGAATGGTTCTTATCTGCCGTCACATTCTACGTTTCTATGTTTTGGAGACAGCTTTGCTAGCAAGCATAAATACAACTTTACAAATGTTTTGACAGGCATTACATCAACGTTCCTTGCCAAGAATATTTGCCCCTAAATGATTTGCTGCAGTATCTCACATCGCTTAGCATTCACGCAAGTTCTAGAATGAGAAGATTGTGAATAAATTTACCAGATTGGAAGACATATCGCGCTAGGCCTTGCATAAGTTCGGCCGGCCATGTCGGGGGAGCAGATTCTTCTGCCTCTCTCTTCAGTCTGAATGTAAGCTCGAAGCCAAAGCCACTTGAGCCATCAGTTCCAGTGTATCTGAGAAATAAAAGCGGGAAAAAAAATAAAATAAAAATAATAATAATAATAATAATAATAAATATATCACTAACAATGCTTCCAACTATTGCTTTATATGTCGCCATACCTCTGGCTTTCCAATTCATATATTTTAAATATATTCTATTAAAAAAAAAAAAAAAAAAAGTGTATGATTTGGGAAATTGATTAATTCTGTAGCTATTAGATTTTTTTTTTCCCCCCCTCTGGAAATCATTTACCGTATATACTCGAGTATAAGTCGACCCGAATATAAGTCGAGACCCCTAATTTTACCCCCCCAAAATGGGAAAACTTATTGACTCGAGTATAAGACTAGGGTGGGAAATGCAGCAGCTACTGGTAAGTTTCTAAATAAAATTAGATCCCCAAAAATTATATTAATTGAATATTTATTTACAGTGTGTGTATATAATGAGCCCAGTGCGTGTGTGTATATAATGAGCCCAGTGCGCGCAGGAGTAGAGTGCGCGCGAGCGAGCACAGGAATGCAGTGCGCACGCATGATGCAGAGCCTTGGTGGGGGTGGGCATTTTTTTTATTTTATATTATTTAAATTTGTATTTATTAAGATTTTTTCGTCCCCCCTCCCTGCTTGATACATGGCCAGGGAGGGGGGCTCTCATTCCCTGGTGATCCAGTGGATGGGCTGTGTAGGAGGGGGGCTGGCTGAGAGCTGTAACTTACCTTTCCTGCAGCACCCATCTCTCTCCTCCGGTCAGCTCCCCTGTAAGTCTCGTGGTCTGAGTGCCGCGCGGTGCGTTGCAACGCTCTGACCCCGCAGCTCTCGCGAGACTTGCAGTGGAGCTGACCGGACCAGAGGAGAGAGAAGGGAGCTGCAGGAAAGGTAAGTTACAGCTCTCTGCCAGCCCCCAACAGGACCGCCGGGCTTGTAATGAGCTCGGCGGTCCTGGTCTGTTTTATGGCAAAGTAAGTTGCCATAATACAGACATTGACTCGAGTATAATTTAAAAAATAAGCACTAAAAAAGGTCAGCTCGAGGTTATTTTTATTTATTTATTTTTTTATATAGATTTTACAAAGTAAAAGAAAGTCCCAGCTCAGAGCTCTTTTACAAAAATAAATAAAATACAAAAATAAAAACAAACAAACAATCAGGTTTCAATAAAAAATTCAGTATTGGGTTATTGGGTTACACACACACACACACACACACACACACACACACACACACAAATGAAATGTATTATTAATTTAATCTACTCTTCTCAAATGTATTTTCACAGAAACCCATGTTATGTAGGAAGCAAGTGAAAAAGAAAAGAAAATGTAATTTAGTTTAAGCAGAAGGTGTAAATAAAATAGACCTGACCTATTTGTTAAGTCATGGAGTCAGAGCACACAAATACATTTTATTTATTTATTTTTAAAGGCAGCGTTCACTGTTGGTGGCCCAAGTGTTTTAGGTGTTATTGATGGCAGCAAGCGCTCAAACAAATCACAATCTGAAACCATATACGCTGCTGAAAAAGGTTTCCATATGTTACCAATTTCTTCAAGGGAGGTCTACCTCCAGCACAGAGACACAGCTCCCAGCACTCTAACTTCCCTTCTGAAACTTTTCAGGGATGAAGCATTCTTTTACAAAGATTTTATTGATTCTACAGTTTCACAATTGGAAAACCAGCCAAGATCATAATCCACAAAGACACCCTGAATAATGGAGCAGCCAGACAGGAAACAGAGTCACATGAGCAGGCAGCAAGATGTCTGATAATGGAAGGCTAAAGTTTATGGATACCACTCAAAGATAAATCAAAAGGAATAGAAAAAAGAAACTGTACCAATGTACAAAACACAACCATATTTTGCACTAATGGCTTATTTACTAAACAGGGAAGTTGAGAATTGCTTATTTTAGGCCAAGACATGCAAACCATTTTCCAACTCAGTTTACTAGCTCTTACAAAATCAGGCACTTTCCTACTGGTATGGCAATAGGTTTACTAGTTCTTACGAGATCAGGCACTCTGGTATGGCAATAGGTAGTTTACTAGCTCTGACAAAATCAGGCACTTTCCTACTGGTATGGCAATAGGCAGTTTACTAGTTCTTACGAGATCAGGCACTTTAATACTGGTATGGCAATAGGTAGTTTACTAGCTCTGACAAAATCAGGCACTTTCCTACTGGTATGGCAATAGGCAGTTTACTAGTTCTTACGAGATCAGGCACTTTAATACTGGTATGGCAATAGGTAGTTTACTAGCTCTTACGAGATCAGGCACTTTAATACTGGTATGGCAATAGGCAGTTTACTAGTTCTTACGAGATCAGGCAC